GTGAGATCATGACCCGAGCATAAGTCGGATCCTCAACTGACTCAGCCTCCAGGTGCCCCTAAACAAAACACTTTTTAAAAAATTAAAAAATATAAAATGTGAAAGCAAAGAGCTAGTGGTAAGACAGGCATTCGTAAGCATGGACCCGGGTGGATAAATTGTTACAATCCTTTTGAAAAGCAAGCAATTAAGTGATATGAAGCAAATATTATCTGATCTGGCAACTAGATTTGGGAGGAAAGAAACTAAGAACGTAATCCATTACAAGGTTTCTGCTCAAGATCTTCATCACTTTATCAAGACAGTATTTGTCATAATTAAATGTTAGGAAAACAACTTAAATGTTAAAACAGTTGAAATAGGGATATCAAGGTGATATTCACCAAGAGTGAATGAGAAAATGTTATATGATAATGCTAAATGAAAGCGTAAGAAATAAAATGGAATCCGTATTTTTCTTTCTCTGACTGACATATTTCGCTTGGCACAATACACTCTCGTTCCATCCACACTGTTGTAAATAGCAAGATTTCATTCTTTTTGATTGCTAAGTAATATTCCATCATCTATATATACCACATCTTTATCCATTTGAGGACACTTGTTGTGATGAGCACTGGGTATTATATGCACATGATGAAGCACTAAATTCTACTCCTGAAATCAATACTATGCTATATGTTAACTGCCTGGGACTTAACTTTTAAAAAACGGTATGTGTATACACAGATATGGTTATTATGCAAAATAAACATTATGCAAAATTACAGAGACAAAAACATAATTGATTTTTTTGTTCTTCAGCTTGGGGTAAATTTTTCTTCCTTCTACATTTGTATATTTTCCAAATATTCTAAGATGACAGCATATAGTATTAGCTTCTTAATAAAAAATTGTTTCTTGGGGCACCTGGGTGGTTCGGTCAGTTAAGCATCCAACTCTTGATTTCGGCTCAGGTCATGATCTCGTGGTTGAGCTCGAGATCTCTGAGTGCCGGCCTCCCACTGACAGCTCGGAGCTTGCTTGGGATTCTCTCTCTCTCTCCCTTCCTCCCTGCCTCTCCCCCTGCTCAGATGTATGTTCTCTCTCTCTCTCTTTAAATAAATAAATTAAATAAATTAACCTTTTAAAAAAAAGTTTTTCAAAACTTCTTTCATGTTCTTCGATACCACACTTTGTCCCAGTTTCTTTTTCTAAACTCAGAGAGTAGAGATGAGTGTTCTGGTTCCTCTTTTCTCCAGGTCAGTGGAGTGAGTAGTACATGCGGTTGGTATAAAAGACCCCCCTTGGCTGGAGCAGGTCTTCACTGGCCTGGGCACATCCGGGGTGATCCGTCTCCATGCAGATTCCCATGGTCCATCCACTCTGCAGCACTCACCTCCTCTTCCTGCTCCAGTGAGAGTTAGGAGGCAGGAGCGGCAGAATCGACAGCCTTCAGGCTAGAAGGGTCTGGACGTGTTTGAGGAAGGAAGGACCTGGTTGCGGGGGGGGGGGGCACTGAGGTGGATTCCTGCTGCAGTGAGCCCCGGGCGCGGTACGTAAGTGATGAACCACCACATTCCACTCCGGAAACCAAGAGCCCACTATGTCTTAACTAGAATGCNCCTGCTCCAGTGAGAGTTAGGAGGCAGGAGCGGCAGAATCGACAGCCTTCAGGCTAGAAGGGTCTGGACGTGTTTGAGGAAGGAAGGACCTGGTTGGGGGGGGGGGGGGCACTGAGGTGGATTGGACCAAGGGGCCAAGGAGGCAGGGGGTCCCAGGACCTCTGTGATCTCTTAGGTCCGGGCAGAAGTTTGGATTCTATTCCAAAAGCAATTAGCAGCGTCTGAAGGGCGTTCACCAGGAAGTCACGTGACTTGGGTGGTTTGCAGCAGCTCGCTCACTGATGGTGACGGTCGCCCTGCAGAAGGGCTGGAATTGATGTCCCAGCAGGATTATGTCACGTCGCTTTTAGAGCTGGGACTTAGAGAATGCAGAAGTGCTGACAGAATCTGAAGCGAGGGGGAGCTCTGGTCCCACCCGGGCTTGGGTGTAGGTGGCGCTGGCCTCCCTGACAAGCCAGGAAGGGGAGCCCAGGCGACCCAGTGTGGGGAGACGCTGCGGGGTCCGGGACGGGCATCACCGTAGGCCTCCCGCCAGCCCACCTGTGGCATGCGGGCCAAAGAGCTGGGTGAGAGGCAACTGGGGACTTGCTCAGGGGACCCCCGGCCTTGGAGGCCCTGGGAAGAGAACTCAGCTGTAGAGCTGGTGGTTGAAGCCAGGAAAGTGGCCTGGGGTGGGTCAGCGCTCGGCGGTCCCAGCTGGAGCTGACAGTCACTGGACGTCTAGGGCCTCCCGGGTCTCAGTGGTGCAGCTGACCTGCGAGAGGGAAGGGCACGCCCGATCCACTTCAGAAGGACCCCAGACCTCCTCTGGCCCCCTGTGCTGTCCCCTGTGCCCACTGTGAGGCCCACCTCTGTCCTGGAGCCTAGAAGGCTGGCTGGAGGAGGGATGTGATAGGAGACCTGGAGGGGAAGGGAGGTTAGGAAGCCAGCAGCTCCGGCGATGGTTGGTACCGTGACCACGTCCTGCAGCCTTGGGGGCGGTTCCCAGGGTGCTGGGGTGAGACTCAACCTGGACTGACCACACTTATGGGGGGGGTGGCGCCTGGACCTCCTTGCCCTGTACCTCCCTCCCACCACCTTCTCTCCCAGATGGGTGTCAGAGATTACAGAATATAATAGTTACTGGAACACAGATGAGAGTTCAAAGGTGATAAAGTATGTTTTAAGCACATGCTCCGTATTGGAAATACGCCCTCTAATCAGGCGGATGGGCACGGAACTTAAGAAGGCTGTCGAGCGGTCCCTCACTGGACGCCTGGGGCAATTCCCCAAGTAAATTTCAAGACTTTCTTTTTTTAAAGTTTATTTATATATTTTGAAAGAGCAAGGGGAAGAGAGAGGGGGACGGAGAGAGAGAATCCCAAGCAGGTTCCACACCATCTGCCTGGAGCCCAATGCGGGGCTCGAACGCACGAACCATGAGTTCACTATGTGAGCCGAAATCAAGAGTTGAACACGTAACAGACTGAGCCACCCAGGCGTCCCTCCCTGAGTAAATTTCAGGCAAGTGAAGGTGGCGGGAAGGGGGGTGGGGGGCACAAGGAGAAGGGGTCCAGGGACAGGAAAGTCCCCTGGAGACACTTTCGTGGCCTCACTGACGTGGCCGTGAGTGTGTGAGGCTGTGAGGGTCTGGCACTGGATCCCCTGGGAACTCCTCAGGCCTAAGCCTTCTCCTGCCCATCTGGGGTCTGTTGCTCCAAGAACATCCCCATTCTGTACTCTATCCAAGCCTCTGATGGTGTTGGAGCAGGGTGGGGGCGTGGGGGGGGGCAGAAGCCAGCCCTGCAGATGGGGCATGGGATTCTCCTCACGGGAGCGACATCTGTGTTTTCAAAGAAGTCTTAGGTTGTGGGCCAAGCTTCGAGCCCAGCAGGCGGCCCCGCCGCCGAGGCACGCCATCCAGCAGTTTCGGAGGGCTGCCCTGCGGGTCAGGACCCACCTCTTTGCCAACCCCCTCAGTCTTCCCGTGACTCCTGCTCTCTCTAGAGCGCTGACTGTGTACTGCGGAGCGTGTAAGATGATTCGACAGGAAGTCCAGCACCTCCCCGTTCTCATTAGGCTGCCCCAGCAAGGTCACAGAGCCGTCCCTGATAGGAAGCAGTAATTAGAGTGGCAGAAGTAGCATTTTACAGCGTTGTTCAGAGATGCGCTTTCTGTGGCAGCGTAAAGGGGGGAGAAAATGGAAGCCAATCCCCTAAAGAAGGTTAATGGCATCCACGCATTTAAATTACCTACATCAGCCTTGTCACAGACAATCAGGAGCTGGAGGTCCTATAGGCATTCACGGGTGGTTCCTAGGAGCGATTCCATATTCCTGAAGGCAGCCCATCTCTGAGTTACCACTCAGGAGCAGGCAAGCCCAGACTTCATCTGTTAATTCATTTGAAAGCAATGACCAACCCCTTTCATGTTCCACGGGAGCCCCCTCGCCCCCACCCCAGGGACGAGGAACCAGGCGGGTGACTCAAGGAAACACAAGATATTTTAATTGGAGAATTTTTTTTCTAATAGGAAAATACTAGAAACCTAAATATATAGCAGTAGTAGTGATTAAGGAAATTATGGTTTCTCAAGTTGAACGATCTGCAGCCATCAAAAAGAAAGTAAAAGGGGAATGTGTGCTCCATATTAATATCCACCGGATTAATGAAGCAGAGAACACAAAACTCAGAGCCAGTGCATCCTATGATCTCTTCGGTGTGCTTTCGAAAGAGAATAATCCAGGTATACCTGGGAAAAGACGCAAGAAATTGCTTGTAATAGTTGGTTATCGTTGGGGAGATCCGGGAACTTTAAACATTTTTAAACCTTCCAGCCATGAGTCATATATTGTGCACAAGGGTGTTTGTCCTTAAAGAAAAGGAGGCAAGAGGGGTTTGTGGTCGGCGGTGAGGCCACGTTCCGCTTCCGCCCTTTTCTCTCCGTCCCTGGTGAGGACTTTGAGCAAGAGTCTCAGGTGCACAGGAAGCGGCCCCCCGCCCGCCCCGCGCAGCCAGCGGAGCGCGCGCCCTCCCCTAGCCCCGCCCCCGCCCGCCCCGCCCACTCCGCGGAGCCCGCGCCCTCCCCTAGCCCCGCCCCCGCCCGCCCCGCCCACTCCGCGGAGCCCGCGCCCTCCCCTAGCTCCGCCCCCGCCCGCCCTCGCCCCTTGCCCATTGGTCCGCCTCCGCGCCGCCGCGTCCAATCGCAGCGCTTAGCGCCAAATTCGAATGGGTGTTTTCGTTTGAATCGGCAGGGCGCGGCGGAGGCTTTACGCGCGGAGCTGCTAACGCGGGGCGCGTCCCGGACGCAGCGAGGCTGGGCCGCCCGGTCGCCGGCGAGGGCGACGGCGGGGGGTGGGGGTAGTGAGGAGCGCGGCAGAGGTGGCCGCGGGCAGGGTCCGTCCCTGGAGCGCGGGGCGGGCTGCGGACGCCGGCGGACGCGTCGCCGGCTTCTCCGGGTGAGGACGCGGGCTGCATCTGCAGGAGCAGTGGACTCCGGCGGCGGTGCGGGCGACTGTCCTTGGTGAGCCGCTGCCGGGGCGCCTCGGGGGTGGGGGGACGGCCGGTGCCTGGGGGCTGGAGCTGTGGGGACCCCTCTGCTCTGCGGGGACCGGCGCCTGGAGCGCGGCCCCGGCTCCGGCGGGAGGGTCTTGGTGGGAACTCCCTGGAGCCTTGACCTTGATGAGCAGCGAGAGTTCTAGCCGCGGGTCTTTGGGGGCACTGGGTGTTGGAGGGGCGCCCCGGGGTGCAGCCCGGGCCTGGCTGGGGCTCCCCCGGAGGTCAAGTAACATGTGGGTCAGGGTGGCAGGAGCATGGTGAATCCTATAAGTGAGCCCATTTGGTCACTTACAAGTGACTTCCTAGCTCTTGGCTTTTAGAGTAACATCCCCACGTCCCCGCTGTTTTTGTTTGATCCAGTGGGATGTTCCTGCAACAAGTTTGCTTCAGCAAACTGTTTGATGCCTGACCTTTCTATACGGATTATACTCAGCTTCTTGTTTAGAAGATGGCTCCTACAGGACGCCTTGTTACCATCAAAAGGAGCGGGGTGGACGGGCCCCACTTTCCACTGAGCCTCAGCACCTGCTTGTTTGGAAGGTGAGCCCTGCTTACAGGTGGACAGTTTCGCTTAAAAGTCATTAATATCCGAATCACAGATTAACAGACTGGAAACACCCTAGAAGCAATTCCTGCCCCAGGACCCGAGCCCTGATGGTGACTTTCTGCTTGTTGTCAACGTCCTTGTTTGTTTATTAGGAACTAGAATTTTGAAGACAATGTTTATATAATTACTTAGTTTTTTTTTAAATCTAACAGATTTTAAAATTGATTTGATACAATCTTTAAATGGAGAAAGATGTAGATTATCTTCAAATCCTGATTCACTTCATGCATTCTTTAGGAGACCAGTATGTTCATATGAAACCCCTCCAAACTTGGTGTTCTGTGGCCATGGGGGGAGGGGGCTCTTCTGAGCAAATGAGGTACTGAGTCTCTCTGTATTTGGTTTGTTGGGTAAATGAAGTTGGGGGAAGTCTTTCCAGTGATTTGAGAACTTCCCTCTCTCTTGTTGCTGGCCGCGTCGTTGGTGGTAAGTGGCTGTGGTCCCCGGAGGGCAGGCACCCCCCCCCATTTTCTGACAGGTGACTTTTTATGTAAATGATAGGTCACCCTTCTGTGGAGCCCTCTGAGGTGGGACCCACACCCCTCCCTGTCCCACCCTCCTCATCTCCACCATGTTCTACCCCACCTCAGACATTCTAAGCTTTTGCTTATCTCCGCGCTTTTAACCAGTTTGAACTTTATGACCAGAATGGTCTCTTATCTTCCTGTGTGAGGGATTCGTTTCCAACCAACTGAGATCCAACCAACCATCCAGTGTTACCTAAAGAGAAGCGTCTGGTGAACACCGCGCTTGTCTTCCCTGACACTCCACAGGGTGACGAATGAGTCTTTGGTTGTCTCCTGCTCCTAAGCTCTCCAAAGACAGGGACTCTCTAGTTGGTAATTATGTCCTCAGTGCCTGGCGCGGGTCTGGCAAGTAAAAGATGGTCTGTAGTTGACACTGTGTCAGGTAGAAGCGCGGCCTGGCTGTGGAACCGTAAACAGCAGTGGTTCTCAGACTACCATAGTTTTGCCCTGCAGGGGACGTCCAGCCAGGTCTGGGGACAGTTTAATGTGTCGTGGTGTGGGAGGCTCGTGCCACTGGCATCGGCGAACAGAGGTCAGGGATGCTGCTGAGAAGCATACAGTGTCCACACTGCACAGCACAGACTCTACTGTAAAGGATTATTTGGCCTAAAATGTCAATGGTGCTGAGGTCAGGAATCACTGATTCAGAGGGATTCTAGTTGGTAGTTCCAGCCAATACATTCTCAGTTCTAATGAGATAGTCTCTATCTCTCTGTCTCTCTCCCTCTCTCTCTGTCTCCCTCTCTCTTCCTCTCTCTGTCTCTGGAACATTCAGTTACCTAAAAATCAAATTCCCCTCTTTAGTTTAAAGTAGATTTTCATAGCTTCTTTTCAGAGGAAAAAGAATAAACATTCTGGTATCAAATGTCAGTCCTACTAGTTATTATACAGAAGGGATTCAGTATCTTTTTATGCAAGATTTTATCATTTAAAACCCATTCGTGGGCACCTGGGTGGCCCAGCCATTTAAACATCTAACTCTTGATTTGGGCTCAGGTCATGATCTCAGGATTTGTGAGTTCAAGCCCCCCATCAGCTCTGCCCTGACAGTGCAGAGCCTGCTTGGGCTTCTCTCTCTCTCCCCCTCTCTCTGCCCCTCCCTCGCTCACATGCTCTCTCTCTCTCTCTCTCTCTCTCAAAATAAATAAATAAACTTAAAAAAAAATAAAAACATTCCTAAGTGCTTGATCATATGCCATAGGTAGAAAGGGATAATGCTTATCTGTTGCTTGCGTTTGTAGTTTTAATAACAGACTTATGAATCTGCCCATTAGTACAGTATAGTTTTAAAACCCCGAAAATCTCATGAGTCCGTGGTTTTACTGTGTCCCAGGCAAATGGCAGGGTGTATAATTCGTGGACTGCTTGAACGAGAACAACACGGTGAGAGGTGCTGATGTAATCGTAATCTTTCTGTTTTTAAAGAACGCCTGCCCAGACAGGTGTTAGCAAAAATACAGCACTCATTGTGATGATTAAACCTTTAAACATACATCACATTACAAATCAACACATATAAACCCTTTTTTTTTTTAATAGAAAAAAAGCACTGAGCATTAAAAATGGTTACCATTCTCCAGGCTGCGCTATAAAGTACTCTCTTATTTGGGTCTTAGAAGCAGGTATTTCAGTAAAAGGCAATCCAGTTTTGTATTCTACTAGTTTCCCTTATAATTATTTCCGAGTACTTGTAGTTTTCAAGGTTTAATGTAGTTGGTTATAAAACGCTTGACAAAATTGTTTGCAAAATGCATGGCTCAGGGGTATTGCCCAATTTATTATTCTTTTCAGTTGTTGCCTTTAAGGATCTAACATACGGTCAAACCATGTTTTATTTTGAGACTTTAGTGCAATTTTTTAAAAAAATTGCAGGAACCTAAAAATCTTAATTTTTTTCCCCAATTAAGGGGCATCGAATGTGACATTCGCATCCAACTGCCTGTAGTCTCAAAACTACATTGCAAAATTGAAATCAATGGGCAGGAGGTAAGCGGGTCTTTGAAGTTTGTCTTTTTTTTTTTTAAACTTTTCATTTCACTTTTTACCCATTCGTCAGTTACCTGTTTTCCCCCTCTTCTACTTTGTAGGCAATACTGTTTAATTTCAGTTCCGCGAATCCAACACAAGTCAATGGATCTGCTATTGATAAGCCTGTACAGCTAAAGCATGGAGATGTGATCACTATTGTTGACCGTTCTTTCAGGTAGGTGAAGAATCAAAACAAAGCCGACGCGACATAAATGCACCTTCTGACGCACCAGCACTAGGCTTGCAGGCTTCTGTGACCTTTCTGTCATGCTGAGGAATGTCAGGGCATCTGAGGCCGCCCTTCTCACTACTGATTCTCTATCTAAAGTCACAAAAGGGTCTAGAAGGGATGATGCATGGGATTTAGGGGATTCCCTTTAAGGATCCAAGTGCACATAACTGGGCCAAAGAAGAGTGACCAGATCCCCAAGGGCTTTTATTTTGTTGCAAGTATTGTGAAGCTGTAAACATTTTTCAGTTTCTCATTTTAAAGCAAAAGACGCTCGTAGAGAAAGATACAAGACAAGATGTCCAGATGGGCTTAGCATGAAGTGAGTGCCTTTGTGATTAGCATCCATTATGGGCTGATTTGTGTCCCTCGAAAACCCACATGTTGGAGCCTTAACCCCCCAGCAGCCCAGAATAGGACCTTATTGGGAGACAGGGTCTTTAAAGGGGTGATTAAGTTAAAATAAGGCCATTAGGGTGGGTCCTAATTCAATCTGACTGGTGTCCCTGTAAGAGAGGAGATTAGGATGCAGAAGAGGGGAAGCAGGTGCTCAGAGGGCGGGCCAGCCCTGTGAAGACGCAGCAGGGGGCCCTAGAGAGCCCAGGAGAGAGGCCTCGGCAGATACCAGCCCTGCCAACATCTTGATCTTGGACTTTGAGCCTCCAGAACGGTGAGAAAATCAGTTTCTGTGTTGAAGCTGCCAACGTGTGGCATTTTCTTGTGGCAGCAGCCCTAGCAAACTAACACACCACCCAGGTCGTGAGCAGAATTATTCCAGAACCTTCTTAATGTGTCTTCTAAACACTACGTCTTTCCCTCCCCAAGTAAACCACCAGAGTGGCTTTTCTGATAACATAAAGTCTTTGGAGTTTTGCTACCTAAGCGTGCATCTCTGACCACTATGGTTTTGTCTGTCTTTATTAACCCCATAAGTTTGAAATAAAAGCGTGTGTATTTGTAACTGCTCTTACAGTTGTGAGCACGGATGTCCCAGTTTGGCCCCCCCTCGCTGCGTACATTTTTCACTGAAACAATATACACAGTTGTGTCTACAATTATACACAATTTATTCATTCTGGATGGACATTTGGACAGTTTCCAGTTTTCGAAGTGAGCCAGGGCTTGCTTTATGACCAGATGGGGCTAACTTTAATGTTTGTTTATTTTTGAGAGAGAGAGAGAGACAGACAGCATGACAGCACCAGTAGGGGAGGGGCAGAGAGAGATAGAGAGAAAGAGAGAGAGAAGAAGACACAGAATCCAAAGCAGGCTCCAGGCTCCAAGCTGTCAGCACAGAGTCTGATGAGGGGTTCAAACCCAAGAACGGTGAGATCATGACCTGAGCCGAAGTCACAAGCTGAACTGACTGAGCCACCCAGGCGCCCCGAATTTGCCTTCATTTTTAAAGGGTGTGTTTATCGAACAGACTTCTGGATTAGGAAGTATCTCATGTGGAATGGAGACCAGAACTTCTTCCCCAAAACAATATGCTCTTCAGATTGAGATTAACTGGGATAGTTAAATACCCCCAACAAAAATGGGGAAAGGATCTTAGGAAGAAGGACTTGACCAAGGACTCTGCTACACCATGAGAATCAATTCCAGACACCCGGCTTGTCACATCAGGCCGCCTCGCGGAGGCCAAGTTCAGTAGCCCATGAAAGGTTGTTCTGTGAAATGATGCCTGAGGTCTCTTAGAACAACTTTGTATGTTGTTAAATCTCTCTGCGTATTAAGAAATGTGTCGGTCTTTGGGTACAGATATAGTAAGCAGGAAACTGAGGAGATCGCAGCGACCCTAAGTTATGGGGTGGCTCTGTGGTGACCCTGTACTAAGTAACATCACAAAGTGACTCTGGCCTCAGGTGCCCGTGGGCTTCCTGGGTGACCTTCCAAGTCCTCAGATGGTTTCCATGGATATAAACCAGTGGAAATCCGATCGGCTGTCCTGTGCGTAGGTTTCCACGTACAAGGTACTCACACACTGCTGAAATCACAGGAGCTTGTCAGTGTCCAGAAATTCCCCTGGGTCCCAACCTCGGATGTTAGTGCTCTCAAAGAAATCTGAGGCAACCTGTCTAAGTTTTGAGTGTAAAACCTTCTATAACTCTACATCTATCTCCGTGAATTAAGGTAATATCTTGAATGAAACCTGATGTTTGTTCCTTGCTCCTTGGACATTAATCAGATAAGGAAGTTTTACCGTCAGTTACAGACCTAGAGTCTGAATATGTGTTTGTCCTTCTGTACACTTCAGGTATGAAAATGAAAGTCATCAGAATGGAAGCAAGTCACCTGGATTCCCAGGACAAAGACACAAACAGGTGATGGGGGGTGGTATCCAACTTTGAGTTCTGATGCCTGTGCACACGATACCATGAAGTCATTAATGTGCACGTCAGCGAATGGTGTTACATAATGAGAAAGACTCGCCAGTTGTAAGAGGAACGTGTAACTGAGATTTTAAACATGATGAGACAAACTGAATTTATTTATTTATTTGTTTGTTTATTTTATTTTATTTTACTTTTTGAGAGAGAGTGCGAGCAGGGGAGAAGAGCAGAGGGAGGGAGGGAGAGAGAATCTTAAGCAGGCTCCATGCTCTGTGTGTAGCCTGACATGGGGCTTGATCTCCCGGCCCTGGGATCATGGCCTGAACTAAAATCAAGAGTCAGACACTCAACCAACTGAGAAACCCAGGTGCCCCATAAATTGTAATAATTTTTTTTAACATTTATTATTTTTTTTGAGAGACAGAGAGAGAGTATGAGCAGGGGAGAAGGAGAGAGAGAGGGAGACACAGAATCCTAAGCATGCTCCAGACTCTGAGCTGGAGCCCGATGCAGGGCTTGAACTCCTGAACCACGGGATCATGACCTGAGCTGAAGTCAAGTGCTTAACTGTCAGAGCCACCCAGGAACCCCATAAATTGAAGTTAAAACTGTACTTGTTTTATTCACAAAGAGGGGACTAAGTCAGTCTCCCATTTTGGCCCAAAAGGCTCCTGGAGCATCTCAAGATCTGATCTTCTTACAAAACTTTGGTTAGAACAGTGCGTTACAGAGAATTAAAATCTGGGCATTACATGACCTAGTGGCTCATGTTGGTTCCCAGTCCTGTTCTTCTCCATCTTTATGTCCTGAAATCATCACATTGGAGCTCTGAGCACCAACGATGCCTCCTAATTGTGACGGAGAGACAACCCATTCCTGAAGGAGAGCCTTACTGCCCAGTGTCACATGGCAGACTTGGTGGCTTATCATCAGAATGCTTGGCTTATCCCCATCCTTGGAGATTTAGTAGGACGCCTCCTGAGAACTTCGCTCCTTTATGAAGCTGCCCAAGCTGGTCTCCTGTGACCGGATTGCAATTCATTGGCTTAAAAAGTCAGCCTACCTGCACCCGAAATTAGCAGGAAGCCACTCCACTGAATGTCTGCTTTTTCTACGTGCTGCTTCCTCCCCAGAGGAGTGACCTTGCCACTCATCAGCTTTGGGGAAAGCTAGCTTTTGAGGGTTTCTGCCCATTTTGTAGGTAGGTGTAAGGAAACCAACCAAAACGCTGAACTTTGGGGTAGATAAGTGATCTCAAGGGTGCCTGGGTGGCTCAGTCGGTTAAGTGTCTGACAATTGATTTGGGCTCAGGTCATGATCGCATAGTTTGTGAGATCGAGCCCCCATCGGGTTCTGCACAGACAGTGTGGAACCTGCTTGGGATTCTCTCTCTCCCTCTATCTCTACCCCTCCTCCACCGTCTCTCTCTCTCTCTCTCTCTCTCTCTCTCAAAATACATAAATAAACTTAAAAAATATTGACAAGTGGTCTTAGAGGTCTCTGAACTGTTCATTGTCTGGATTGCGATAAAGCCAGTATTGAAACTAAATACTTACAACACGTAATTGGCAGTGATTTTTATGTCTGTGGAATACAATGCACAAAAAATGGGCTTGCATTTTGTACATAATTTTTAGTTATAAGATCCTTGGCCAACTTCAGATGGGAAATTAGGAACTGATCCCTCCCTTGGCAGATTAGAGCAGCAGGTTCGATACCAAGAAATCTGAAATGGATTGAAGAAAAAAGTTAAATCATTTGCCCGTGGATGCATTTTGTGATTTTTTTCCTCCATAATAACTCAGATGAGACACTTTTCCTCCTTTGAAGCGACACTGAACCTTTACATCTTGCATATTTGTCATTCCTTGTTGTTCTTTGTCCCCTAAAACTTATCCTGACAGATTGTGAAGGCAGCAGTTGGGGAGGGGGAGGTGCGGAGGGAGGAGCCCGGATCTGATGACTGTGCCCTGAGGGTGCGCCTCTGTGCTGCTTTCACTTTGGCCTCAACATCCAGGGAGCACCTGCCCACCAAAGCGCACATGCCCAGTGGGGCCCAGCAGGGCCTGTAGCCTCTTTCTGATAAAGCTGAGTATGGAATCAGTAATTCCGTGCCCTTGTTAGGTTCCCAGTCGCTGCATGTAGATGATGTCTAATTGTAGCTTTGGCTCTTTCGTGGGGTGATGAGAGAGAAGTTTGAGGAAGGTCTCAAAACTCAACTGAGGTTCAATTTACTTAAAAAAAATTTTTAACGATTATTTTTGAGAGAGAGACAGAATGGGAACAGGAGGGGCAGAGAGAAAGCGAGACAGAATCTGAAGCAGGTTCCAGGCTCTAAGCTGTCAGCACAGAGCCCAATGCGGGGCTTGAACCCATGAACCACTAGATCATGACCTGAGCCGAAGTCAGTTGCTTAACCGACTGAGCCACCCAGGCGCCCGTCATTATATAGTTTTAAAATCAGCTAAGAAATACTTGTATTACGAGCACTTGGCCCTGAATGTCTTGGGTAAAAGTCTCTAAAATTCATCTAAGAACAGTTTGGTAGGGAAGGACCGGCCCCCATGGCAAGAACACTTTAATAAATATGACTGCCGGTATTTGAACAGACACCTATATCACTGTTTTTATTTTGCCAATTCACAGGAATCTCTGCATCGAGTCTCAAGATCTAGCCTCTCTTCCAACCCTGGTTAGTAGTTTCTCGGTTTCCTTCTGGGATCCTGCGAGGTCAGGTCTCTGTGTAGCGTTATGGCGGGGAAGGAAAAACAAGAACACGAGTGTTCTGTGCTCAGCTTCACAAAAGTTAGGAGGTTGTGTTACTTCCCATGACACATAGGCAGACATCTGCCTTATCGTTTTCCTCAAGGGGCTTAGAGGGCACTGTGCTCACTGAGGCATCTGAGGTATAAATACTCTTATTTGGTTATCGGTTTAATTGAGTAGATGGATAGCATTCCATGACTTGTATGGGTTATAGGAGGCTGATGTGACTTATTTGTTTGCATTGTAATACTAGTATCGAAATACTTAAAAAAAACTTTTTAAAAATTTTTCTTAACAATTATTTATTTTTGAGAGAGAGAGTATGAGTGGGGGAGGGGCAGAGAGAGAGGGAGACAGAGAATTGGAAGCAGGACCCAGGCTCTGAGCTCCCAGCACAGAGCCCAACTTGGGGCTCGAACTCAACGAACCACGAGATGATGACCTGAGCCCAAGTCCAACGCTCAACCGACTGAGCTGCCCAGGTGCCCCTCAGAACACTTTTATTACACACTTTGGGAATTCGGTAATTTGCAGCCTCAGTGAAAAGCTAGGTTACAAGACAATTTGAAACGGTTTTAAAATGTGAATGCTGCACGTGTTCATCACTAACAAAATCTTGAACTTTCTGTTTCCTGTTTCATGCATAACTCCTTGCCAAGATGGGAAAGTTCAAGATTCCAATGCCCATTCGAAACCGTCTGAAGAAAATGTTTCAGGACGGCCTCAGAAGAAGGGCGAAGCCGCCAGCCCCATCTCGGGGGGCTCCGAAGAGCTGGCTGCAAGCAGAACGCTTCCTGTGGCCCGTCCCTCGGAAGTTGCTGGACGTAACTACAGAAATGTCCCGGAGCCCACAGGCAGGGATTTTCAGGAAGATTCTAGTGGCAGCTTCGTGAGCTGTAGAGGAGGCCTCGGGTCTTTGCCCTGCGCCCGGGGCCTGGAGAACGGGGCGAGCCGTGAGTCCCCCTTCAAGAAGCTTTATGACTCCATGAAGGAAGAGCTCGATGTAAAGTCAGAAAAAGGAGATGTTCTACAGAGTGGCAAAAAATCTGGATCACGGGGTCATCGTGCACCGGAGAAGGAATGTTCTGGTGGTTTACAAGCCGAGACACACATCCCTGTGTCCCCTAAGTCCAGACCCCAGTCAGGTCGGAGCACCCAAGTGAAGGCAGACCCTGCTTTGGAAGAACAAGGAATTAGCCAGACTGAGGACAGGAGAGAAGGCGAGGAGGCTGTGGAGACTCCCAAGGACGCCAGGGGTCCCGTCGTCCCTCCTGAGGAGACGACAAAACCCAAGACCCCCGTACAACGCTCCCCACAGACCCCCTCACGGAAGCGTCAGCATCAAGACGTGGGAGTTACCAGTGGACGTGCGTCTGCGGATCGGGGTCCAGAGGAAGGCTTCGGGGCGGGTAGCAAGTCGCTGACTCCCAGGAAGTCCTTAACCAGAAACCAAACACCCGCTCAAGTTGAGTCTGCTGCTGATTTTGGAGATACACCAGAAAAACGCTTTTCCAGAAAGAGGAAGAGTATTCCTACCAGTGTGGACGTTCTTACGCCAGAAACAGAAGCTCAGAATCCCGCTATTTTAGCTCCGTTGCCCGTTCAAGTTGAAAGGAAGATTCCAAACAGTTCCATCCACCAGCCTGAGAAGGGGGGTGCCGCCCCGGGGCGCATGCACTCAGGGTTGCCTGGTCGCGGTTCGGTTGATCCCAGCAACTTCGGTGAATCCATTAGTAAGTTTGTTTGTCTGTTTATTTTCCTCCCGCAAGCTCACGCCTCGTGTCTAGACGGGAACCGAGTTGACGTTCCTTGGCCGGGTAGTGAGGTCCCTGTGGGGGTGTCTGTGGGGCACGGAGCCCGATGCACCGTCTCCCCTCATGGTCGCATCCTGAAGGCGCGCAGGATTGTGACCCGGGCCTCCGGGGGGGAGTGCAGGTTGTCAGGGAGGAATACACCCGGGGACCTACAGGCAGAATCCAAACCGTGCTGGATTCTCCTGTTCCACCTACGAGAAGATAGAAAGGAGAATAAGCCTAATAATAAGCATAAGCGCTTTCCGGGGAAGTTTGAATTCTGAACTACAAGCACTTGCCTCCTAGGAGTTTGCTCCTATAAACTAAGTGCAGGGAAATCCCCTGGGAATGTTTAAATACGGGGTGTCTCTCAGATATTTATCCTCTGTTCTCGGCGTCCCCTAATAGCAGTTTGTCGTTCTTGCTGTTCCAGTTTTATAAACCACTGGACTGTGCCCACGGCTGTATCAGGCGCTGTTGTAGGTGATTTAAAGGCAGGGACGCTTCCGGCCCTTTGTGCAGGCAGCAGGAGGGCTCCGGGGACGGGGGTCCTGTTCCCTCCCCTTTGTCAAAGGGGACACTGACGGCCTCCTGTCAGCGAGCGGCAGGGCTCTGACCCCCGGGGAGGCTTTCTCCCACATTCCTGGGGGGTCTGTGGCTGTTCTGAAGTAGCAGGCTTACTCTCCGGGCTCTGTTTTACACACGGTTCCCCATGGGAGGTGCACCCCTCTCTGCAATTAGACCTGCATGCATCTGTCACTGTGTCCCTGTGAGTCAGGGAGCGTCACTCAGACAAGGGATTTCTGTTGCGTGCGGGTTCACAGGGATGTGCAGCGGGGTTGGGACTTGTGAATCGCTTATTCGACTCACCTGGAGAAGTTTTCAAGTTCACGACTTCTCACTAGGGCCTGGGCGAGGCCTGAGTTCATAGGCATCTTTTGAAAAAGCCCTCTGGTCACTGTGGAGGCATCCGTCCGTGTCATTCCCCTGCTCAAAGTGAAAGCCACCAGATTCACATCAATCCCTTTATCAAGCTCTTTCCTAGAAAATCTTCGGACTGTCCAGTTGGGACTTGACACTTTATGGGTTTGTCCTTGGGTCTTTCCTGATCTCCAGCTCTGTGAGTATTTTAACAGCATGAGATGCTGTGGTGTTAGTTTTCAACGGGCTTTTCCATCGCTTTGTCTTATAACAGCAGCTGGAACAAGTCTTAAGTGTCCGTACGTCTTTCATTCCCCCTCCATGTTTGTATTCATTGTTTCAGGTAAGGCTGAAGGAACACCCCTGAAAAGAAGGCGGGTCTCCTTTGGTGGGCGCCTGAAGCCGGAGTTATTTGATGAAAACTTACCTCCTAATACACCTCTCAAGAGAGGAGAAACACCTCGAAGGTCTCTCGTAAGCCACACTCCGCCCGTCCTGAAGAAAATCATCAAGGTACGTCACGCGGCCCGTACTCTCACTCATGCCAGTGACGCCTCCTTTCCAAACACCCGCACCAGCACAGTGACAACGAAAACCTTTTTCTTTCTTTTTTTGTTGTAATTTTTTTTTAACATTTATTTATTATTGAGAGATGGAGACAGAGTATGAGTGGGGAAAGGGCAGAGAAAGGGCGAGACCCAGGATCTGAAGTAGGACCCAGGCTCCGAGCTGTCAGCACAGAGCCCGATGTGGGGCTCGAACTCATAAACCATCAGATCATGACCTGAGCTGAAGTCAGACGCTTAACCTGAGCCACCCAGATGCCCCTCTTTCTAATAACATAGTAAAGATAAAAAATTCTGAAGATCTGCTTCCTCATTGAGGTGTGGAAAATGGCGCCCTGGGCTTGGAACCCCGATTCTCATGTGGCTGAGCACAGGGGTGCCCTCTGGGGGTCTCTTCCTGTAAGGGCCTCCCGCCAGCCTGGCTTCCAGAAGACTACTGGTGGGGGCAGGGGCGGGGTGTGGTCAGCAAAAACTACCAATTAGAAAGAATCCGGAGACATCATGACACAAAACCATAAGGTGTTTTTGTTTTGTTTTGTTTTTTCCTTCTAGAATTAAGGTGAAAAGGAAACTCTTGAATGGCAACACGCCCATGCTTTTCACCATCCGCTACTTAGAACCCTTTAATCACCTACGCTAGGCTGTTGTCCTCCTGAGTTTAGGTCTCTAGAAAGATGGCCGCACAGCTCATCCCCCTCAGAGGGCCTGGGCAATCTTTTATTTCTTTTCCTACCAAAGGGCGTGTGAGGTATGTGTGGCTCCCTTTCTATTTTCTACTGTCTTCCAGCAATGAGCGGCCCTCCTTCCCTGGAGACCAAAGGGGATTAGAACCCCACCGGTGGTGTTTTCTCCACTTCAGATCGGAGCATGCTCACTTCTCACTCCTTGGGAGATTTCTTCTGCCTTTCGACCTGAAAACACCCCACTTAAAACGGGTCTGCTGTTTCCCCTGCCTTCCATTTTCTCTTACATGAGGGGACACCGACTCCCATCTCTACCTCCCACTTGACAGACAACGGCTGAAACGTCTTGGTGCTTCCAGATGTAAATAGCTGAAGTTCTGAACTGGGCAGGGTTTTCACATCCGCTACAGAGACACTATGTGGGTTTTAAGGTTTCTTATGAACGTTTAAATCTCGTCAGGAACGCCCTCAACCGTCCGGAAGAGAAGACTCCTCCGGACTCCGTCCAGAAGTGACCACGCAGCCGCAGTTGGCGGGATCTCCAGCCCGCGATCCGACCAGAACTCCTCCAGGTGCCAGTGACCCACGCCGCGGGTCACCCAAGGCGTCCTCGGTCTCCAGTGGCGGCAAGTCTCCCCATCAGGCGGATGTTCCTAAGAGGGGAGGCAGGCGGAGCGGCAACTTGCTTTCAAAGAGGGCCTCCGTCGACCGGAGCCAACACGAGATCCTGCAGATGATTTTCTCCAAGAGAAGGAGTGGAGCCTCGGAAGCCAACTTAATCGGTGAGTGTTGCCTTTGCACGTGTCTTAGGGTCCGTTTTCTCGCTGGTGGGACTTTGGGAACGTTTCAGCACCTTTTCCTTCTGACAGTGGCAAAGTCGTGGGCAGACGTGGTCAAACTCGGGGCCAAGCAGACCCAGGCTAAAGCGGTTAAACACGGCCCTCAGAGACAGCTGAGCAGAAGGCCAAGGAAAGCCAACACTCCGAAGGTAGGAACGGCTCCTTGGCCGCGCACCGCGATGTGAGATCGCGCTGGGTGGGGATCTACGCTCTGACGTTGTCTTCATCTTGAGGCGTTTGTTTTTTTCCAGAAGCCTGTGAGCGGCATTCCCAATCAGTTTAGTACAGGCCATGCCAACTCTCCCTGTACCATAATCATAGGGAAAGCTCACCTCGAAAAAGTAAACGTGCCTGCTCGGCCCTACAGAATGCTCAACGACTTTGTCATCAACAAAAATATGGACTTCAGTGAAGATCTTTCAGGTAAGGGCGTAGCCTCGAAGGCTAGAAACCATAGCCCTTGGGTCCCCCCTGCCTGTGAGGAGGTGGAGGGGTGCCGTGGGTGTGCACGGACTGGGAGCAGACGGGGGGATCACCATCGAGTCAGCCCCTGGGGTCCTGGAGGTTCAAGGCGGAGCTCGCCGGGCTGGGGAACAAGAGCAAGGCCTCGACCCCGTGGGGGACCGTCGTGAGTCCTGCACGGAGCGGGTGTGAATGGTAAGCGCATGTCCTGACCTCGGATTGCGGCATCGATGGAGAGAACTGGAGCCCCCTGCATGGTGAAGAGCGCTGGCTCGCTCTTACAATTGCGCTTTCCCTGCGTTGATGCCAATCGATGCTCCCGAAGCTGAGCAATATTTTACTGCTTCAAGAGTTCCTTCCCTTCCGGGAAGCTTAACTGTTTTTTGAAACAAAAGCCTGCGGAAAGGGCTTCCCTGAAGCCTTAGTAGTTGAGGCAGCGTTTCCATTCTCAGTGAAGGCGGGATGTGACTTGCCTCTGGTTGTCCTAGATTATCACCGGGGCTGGGGTTTCGTGCTCCCTGGTGTGCCCGGTGCTTTCCGCCTCCAGCACGTTCGCAGGGAGGGGAGACGTGATTCCCCCTCCTTAGATGAAGTCTTTTTTTAAATTTCCTGGCTTATTTTATGATGGAATAGTTGTACTGCTCTGTATAACCCAAATAGAAGTCCCCTCTGGGTACTGTCACAGTAGGATCAATACGTACAGTTTTGGGGGCGCCTGGGTGGCTGTTGGTTAAGTGTCCGACTTTGGCTCGGGGCGTGATCTCACAGTTCATGAGTTCGAGCCCCACGTCGGGCTCTGTGCTTACAGCTCAGAGCCTGGAGCTGCTTCAGATTCTGTGTGTCTCTCTTTGCCCTGCCCCACTTGTGCTCTGTCTCTCAAAAATGAATAACTATGAAAAAATATACATTTAGCTTTTTAAAAAGAACAAACCATAAAATTGCAGAACAACTGGAGCCCGTTTTGACAGCAAGCTCAAGGAGAAAAAAGTTTTGAGTATGTACCACCCTATATGCAGTCGTATGCACATACGTGTATCCTTGTAGGTTATGCTCAGGTGTGAGTGTACTAATGCACTTATGTTACAAAGCGTTAAGAACCAATCCTCAAACATATTTTTAAGATAAAATTAATAGTTTAAATGCTCAGTACCCAGGACAGTGGATTTTCCCAAACTTCCTTCCAGACCCCTTCCTAGAGGGTCCCACAGTTTCTACCCCTTGGTGTGAGTAACTCTCAAGACAAAACCTCAGTCTGTGCTGAAGCCTGGATCCTGGGTATTCAGGGGGGGGCCTGAGTAGTGGCAGAAGGAGGAGACTTTTAAGGGAAATGGCTGGCTTGAGGGCCTCCGGAACGGGCTTCCCAAAGGCAGTTTGCAAACGGATGCCAGACCGAGATTTTTATTTTTTTGATCCATCGCTGGCAGAATGAGAAAGTACGACGAAAGCAGGATAATGTGTTTCAGAAAGATAAATCTTCCATTTAAAGAACTGTATATAGTTCTTTTCTCCTGAGATTTATGTTCATAGTACTTTTTAGTGTTGAGATGAAAGCATGGTGATATTACTACTTGACAATACTATCGATGGGCAGTCATTTTTGATTTTAATTGGAGAGGTTTTATTGATATGTAAAACCCAGGTCTGCATCAGCTAGGGCTTTTCAAGGCAGCATGAGGGCACTGGGGTTCTGGAGGTCTGGCCGGGAGGTGCCAGGGGTGGCCTCTGTCTCCCGGCTGGTGGTCAGAACTGGGGCAACGTTTCAAGACTGAGATGTCAACTTCCTCTATTTTGATTTTCTTACTAAGAGCAAAAACAAAGAAGAGGAGATGCGATCACAACTTCTCATTGTGCTTCTTCAAAATGAGTTTGTTATTTTTTTAAGTCCACGTTTGATGGACAGTGTGAGCAGGGGAGGGGCAGGAAGAAAGGGGGGCAGAGGGTCTGAAGCAGGCTCTGCAAGGATAGCTGAGACCCCAATGTGGGGCCCGAACTCAGAACTTGTGAACGGTAAGGTCATGATTTGAGCTGAAGTCAGATGCTTAATCAGCTGAGCCCCCCAGGCGCCCCAAAATGGGTTCATTATTAATACATGACCCTGTTTCCCGTGAACTCTGGGGACTCATTCACTGTTCCCTCCCCGCCACTTCCTCTGGGGTCCTTGGGGACTGCTATGGTGGCTGGCAGGTGTGACCAATATGTTCATTGCTTCTCACATATTCTCTTCTAACAGGGTTAACTGAAATGTTCCGAACCCCGGCAGCGAAAGTGAAGCCACAAACAGAGAGCCTGTGTCCCAGCGCTTTCTCACATTCAGAAGACGTTGTCAGAAGAGAGTTTCAAGTACCTGATTCAGGAGAAAAACCTCTGCTACGCACGTCTGAAAATTTTGGTTGGTTTACTTTTTTTTTCCTCCTAGCACTTTGATGTTTTTAGTAGGAATTGTAGATGGTATTATTATTCTCTTTTTGCATGAGATAGAGTATTATTTGTCTATAACAGATACTCCTAAAAAAATACCATTTCCAACTTCTCGGTTCTGTTGTTTAGGGGAAATGCCTATAAGCAGTTGAACTAACATTGGTGTTCAGCAAGCTGCATAAGAAGAATGATCCTTTACTAATTTAAACTACCTGTGCACGCTTCTGCTTTCTTTGTTAAAAGGGGTTGACCAGCAGAGAAGTAGAATGACCTCTCATCGTAGCTGCATAAATTACTCAAACTCATAATTATTCCTAATAACCCAAGAGAAAGAGAATGTGTACATTGTGCTTAGTGCTGCGAATCTTCCAGACGGCCTGTGCCCCGGAGTGAGTCCAAGATGGGAGGAATGAGGCTGTCTTGCTCTCGCACCGAGTACTGGTTACTCAGTGCCTGGCATGGAGGGAACAGCTTTACTACATGAGTTGTACAGCCTGTGCTGAGAAGTAGATGTTTCCTGTGTGGTGCAGACCCCAATGTACTAACGATAAGTCACATTACCATATGTGGTTCCACAGGAGAAACGGCTGTTTGCCTCTCATGTTTGAAGGAAGGAAAGTCTGCATTCAGGTGACTGAGACATGGTGCGCTAAACTTCAGGAGACCCTTCTTTTTTTTTTTAATGTTTTATTTATTTCTGAGAGAGAGGGCAGTGTGAGCAGGAAAGGGTAAGAGAGAGAGGGAGACACGAAATCAGAAAGAGGCTCTAGGCTCTGAGCTGTTAGCACAGAGCCCGACGCGGGGCTTGAACCCAGGAACCGTGAGATCATGACCTGAGCCAAAGTCGGACACTTAGCTGGCTAAGCCACCCAGGTGCCCCCAGGAGACCCTTCTTAAGGAAGTTTTTTTCTTTTATCTAATCTCTGTGGATCCTAATCCCCTCCTAAGTGTGACCCTTAAGTCACCTGATAGCCATATTCTTAAGTGCGCGTGGCTTATAGGTAAGACAGATTTATGGCCACATGAGTAGCTTCATATGCTTAGCCCACGTGGACAGGAGGCTGAATTATTGGCTCTTGAGCAATATTTCATAAGGATAAAATACTAAATTGCACAACACAGTGAACAGAATATATTTCTCATGCGTGTTTTTATTTCCTTTAGGAGAGAAAGTATTCCCCGAGGCTCAGAATGCACCACAAGAGCCCTTTGATCAAAGCCCCGCGAGCCCTGTCCTCAGACGACAGAGTATCAGAGCAAACGTGAACATCGAGAAGACTCCAGCATCCGAGGCAGAGGCTCCCAAGGCTGCATCAAGTGCAAACCGGCTTCGAAGGTCCGTGGGGCCCAGCAGCACACAGAAGCCGGGTGCGGGGCGCAAGGACGAAGAAGCCCAAGGAGACCCCGAGGAGAACGCTTCAGGACGCCATCTGATGAAGACCCCAAAACGAGGACAGAACCCGGAGGGAGCAGCGGGGGCACAGGAGGGCTGTGCTGGAGTGCGTGAGCAAGATGCCGGGGCAGAGGAAACCTCTGAAGGGGCGGTAGCTGCGAGGAGGTCGAGAAGGTATTCAGAGCAGAAACAGGAACCAGTTGCAGACCTGACCTCCCTCAAGAGATGGCAGGACACAGAACCCAAGGAAGACCGGGGGAGCATCCAAGGTCTCCTCCGCACACCCATTCACGCCCAGGGACCAAAGGATGCTGAGGACCGAATGACAGAAAAGCGCCAGAAATCTTCAAAGGCGGAACTAGGCGGCCCACCGGCCAGGATGAGCATACGGCTCAAGGCCCCCCCCCAGAGAGCGGGCCTGGAGGAGGGGCCCTCGGCTCTCAGGAAGCCCACCCAGGTGCCAGCGGAAAGCCCACGCTCACACGGAGAACAGGGAGGTGGTGACGAAGACATCGGGTGGTTTACCAGAACTCCCTAGCAGAAACTGAACGCTGCAGAAAATGTAACTGGAAGCAGGAGGTGGCCAAGAACACCTAAAACCAATACCCATCCCTTAGAAGATCCGGCTGGACTCCGAGATCTCTTCCAAACACCAAACCACACAGATAAACCAACGACTGGTGACCAAAACACCAAAGTTCCCTGCAAATCCCCACTGGCAGGACCAGGCAACACACCAGCAAGTAAAAAGAGGTGGCTCGAGACCCCTCCCCAGAAAGTAGACGTGGAAGAGGAGCCCTCAGCTCTCAGGAAGCCCACCCAGACGCCAGGGGAAAGGCCACACTCACACAGAGAACCAGGCGGGGAAGATGAAGACATCAGATTGTTTAACAAAACTCCAGAGCAGAAACCTGCAGAAAATGTACGTGGAAGCAAGAGGCGGCCAAGGACACCCAAGACAAAGGTCCCGTCCCTAGAAGACCTGGCTGGACTCAAAGAGCTCTTCCAAACCCCAGACCCGGTGACTGGTGACCACACCACCAAAGTCTCCTGCAAATCTCCACTAGCAGAACCAGTCAACACACCAGCAAGGAAAAAGAGGCAGTTTGAGACCCCTCCCCAGAAAGAGGACCTGGAGGAGGGGCCCTTGGCTCTCAGGAAGCCCACCCAGACGCCAGGGGGAAGCGCACACTCACACGGAGAACCTGTGGGTGAGGGTGAAGACATCAAATTGTTTACGGAAACCCCAAAGCAGAAACTGGACCCTGCGGAAAATGTAACTGGAAGCAGGAGGCAGCCAAGAACACCCAAGAAAAAGGTCCACTCTTTAGAAGACCTGGCTGGACTCAGAGAGCTGTTCCAATCACCAGACCATACAGACAAACCAATGACTGGTGACCAAACCACCAAAGCACCCTGCAAATCTCCACTAGCAGGGCCAGGCAACACGCCAGCAAGTAGAAAGAGGCAGCTCAAGACCCCTCACCAGAAAGTGGACCTGGAGGGAGAGCCTTCAGCTCTCAGGAAGCCCACCCAGACGCCAGGGGAAAACACACACTCACATGGAGAACCTGTAGATGAAGATGGAGATATCAAATTGTTTAAGGACACTCCAAAGCAGAAACTGAATGCTGCAGAAAATGTAACTGGAAGCAAGAAGTGTCCAAGAACACCCAGGGAAAATGTCCAGTCTTTAGAAGACCTGGTTGGCCTCAAAGAGCTCTTCCAGTCACCACACCACACAGATAAACTAATTACTGGTGACCAAGCCACCAAAGTTCCCTGTACATCTCCACTAGCAGGACCAGACAACAAGCCAACAAACAGAAGGAGGCGGCTCAGGACCCCTCCCCAGAAAGTGGGTCTGGAGGAAGAACCCTCAGCTCTCAGGAAGCCCACCCAGACGCCAGGAGAAGGCCCACACTCACACGGAAAACCAATAGGTGGTGGTGAAGACATCAGATTGTTCAAGGAAACCCCAGAGGAGAAACTGGGCCCTGGAGGAAATGTAACTAGAAGTAAGAGACGACTAAGAACACCCAAGAAAAAGGTCCAGGCCTTAGAAGACCCAGCTGGCCTCAAAGAGCTCTTCCCAATACCAAACCACACAGATAAGCCAATGACTGGTGACCAAACCAAAGCACCCTGCACATCTCCACTAGCAGGACCAGACAACAAGCCAACAAACAGAAGGAGGCGGCTCAGGACCCCTCCCCAGAAAGTGGGTCTGGAGGAAGAACCCTCAGCTCTCAGGAAGCCCACCCAGACGCCAGGAGAAGGCCCACACTCACACGGAAAACCAATAGGTGGTGGTGAAGACATCAGATTGTTCAAGGAAACCCCAGAGGAGAAACTGGGCCCTGGAGGAAATGTAACTAGAAGTAAGAGACGACTAAGAACACCCAAGAAAAAGGTCCAGGCCTTAGAAGACCCAGCTGGCCTCAAAGAGCTCTTCCCAATACCAAACCACACAGATAAGCCAATGACTGGTGACCAAACCAAAGCACCCTGCACATCTCCACTAGCAGGACCAGACAACAAGCCAACAAACAGAAGGAGGCGGCTCAGGACCCCTCCCCAGAAAGTGGGTCTGGAGGAAGAACCCTCAGCTCTCAGGAAGCCCACCCAGACGCCAGGAGAAGGCCCACACTCACACGGAAAACCAATAGGTGGTGGTGAAGACATCAGATTGTTCAAGGAAACCCCAGAGGAGAAACTGGGCCCTGGAGGAAATGTAACTAGAAGTAAGAGACGACTAAGAACACCCAAGAAAAAGGTCCAGGCCTTAGAAGACCCAGCTGGCCTCAAAGAGCCCTTCCCAATACCAAACCACACAGATAAGCCAATGACTGGTGACCAAACCACCAAAGCACCCTGCAAATCTCCACTAGCAGGACCAGACAACAAGCCAACAAACAGAAGGAGGCGGCTCAGGACCCCTCCCCAGAAAGTAGAACTCAAGGAAGAGCCCTCGGCTCTCAGGAAGCCCACCCAGACGCCAGAGGAAAACACACATTCACTCAGAGAATCAGATGATGACAAAGACATGAAATTGTTTAATAGAACTGCAAGGCAGAAACTGGGCCCCACAGAAAATGTAATGGGCAGGAAATATCAGCTAAGAGCGCCCAAGGAAAAGGCCCAACTCCTGGAAGACATGGCCAGTCTCACAGAGCCCATCCCGACACCAGATCATACCAAGGAACAAGAGGGCAAGGCTGGTGGCATGAAGGGAGCTCCACAGCAAATACCAGATGGCGGGAAGCCTGTCAAAATCTTACCGGGAGTCCTTAGGGCCCCTCGAGCACAGCCGGCGGAAGACCAGGCGGGCCTCAGAGACCCTGTACAATCTCAAAGTGAAAGCAGCGTTTCCCTGTCCCCCAAGAGGAAACGAGGAAACAAGGGGGGTGTCACAGGAACAAAGAGGGTGCGCTCTGTGTCACCTGTACAGGCCCCTGCAGAAGAGAAGCCCCCCCAGAAGAAAAGAAGGGGAGCCCCCAGAGAAGGATGCAACCCAACTGGACCCCTGGCCACGAAGAAAAAGCTAAGGATTGTGGGAGAAGGGATGGAACTCCTGGAGGACCTGACCAGCCACAAGAGGGAAACGAGAAGAAGGGGGCGAGATGTAGAAAGGACCCCTGCACAACAGGTGATGGCAGATGTCACATCCCTCTGTGCCCCCTCGGATGGTGTTTCCATCTGGGGCTCATATTTGGTATACATTGTTCATAGCTTGAATGTGTATGTGAATATCTTCTCCCAAAGGGGTCTGCATTCAACACAGTAAATAACCGCAGACCAAGTTAAAGGATCCTTTGGGGATTTATACAGAGAATAGACTTAATTTGGGAAAGTAATAGGTCAAAATGATTATTATGAATTTTGATGAGAGTTTCTCAGGAACTGAGTGAGTCCTGCTCATCTACAGAGCTGTGAACGGTGTCGAGGAAAGGTAGGAGCTGGGTCCTGTGCTGTCCCAGAGCCCATAAGCAGGAGCTGGGGGGGTGGGGGGGTGGAGGGGGTAGGGCATCGGGGTCAGTCTACGAGGTTAGAGCAATCTGCAGGGGGCTCCGCGCCCTGAGTGTCAGGCTGTGAGGCAGAGAGTTACTCCTACATGGAGAGTACTTTGTACATTCCGCTCTAGAAACTGCAGTCCTTCTGTCCTGCTTGAGCAATGATTGCAAAAGGCTTAGGAATTCATTTGCTGCCTGGAAAGGGGGCATTTTGCTAGAATCCCCTTGTAATCAAATTTGCCACACATGACACTCGGGTGTTGCGATGGAAATTGAGCCTCAATTCCTTATTTGCGGTTTATCAGTAGAGAGGATTTCTCCCTGGAGCGAAGGGATTGCTGGCATCTTAAGAAAACAAATATGAAATTTTCACATGCATTCTTTGCAAATTCACTTTGATGGTTTTTTCCCCCATGTTGAATTGTGAGATCTGTATTACTCACGATTGGCATGTTGTGGATGTCTTGAAATTTTTAGGGAATGTCTCTGCGCTCTAGACGGCCTAACAAACCCGAGCTCGAAGAGCACAGTCCCGAGCCTGTTAAAGCAGCAGCAGAGAAGGTGAAAACAAAGAGAAATAACAGGAAGCCCCTGACGACCTCCCAGGAGACAAAGCCACAAAGCCCCGAAGACGGAGCCAAGAACCCTACACCTCAAGGCCAAGTCCGTGCAAGCAGAATGTGTCTGCGGTCTGCGAGACAGAAGAAGATGCCCTTGCCTGACGGAGCAGAGGAGAGGCGGAGGGGGAAAGGTGTGGCTGTCTGCGTGAAGAATCATGAGGAAGAAAGAACGCAACGCTCAGATTTCGTGTCTTTGAGATCCAGAAACATTACGATCCCTCCAGGAGGAAATGCTTCGGAGAGCGAATCCCAACAGCGAGTGACTCGGGGTGCCAAGAGATGTGCCGAAAATATAAAAAAGGCAAGTAATTCACCGTGGTTTTTTTTTTCTTTATATTTATTTTGAGAGAGAAGGAGAGAGAACCCCAAGCAGGCTCCATGCTGTCAGTGCAGAGCCCCACACAGGGCTGGAACTCACGAACCATGAGATCATGACCTGAGCCAAAATCAAGAGTTGGACGCTTAACCGATTGAGCCGCCCAGGAGCCCCTGTTTTTCTATATTTATAAGCAGAGAATGTTTTAATATAAATTTGTTCTGTGTTCAAAAAACAAGCATTATATATAACATGCTGCCCACTGCTAGTTATCCTGGGGTAGGAAGCATGAGTGTAAGCCACGTACTTTGTCGTAGCTGCATTTAGGGGATTCCACTTCCACTAGAAAACTGACATGAAGACACCATTCAGGGAGAGCAAGGAATTCATCTCTTGAGTACTTTCTGACTGCTTGTTACATACCCGGCAGGAAAATTCTAGGTAGATGAGTTCAGTCCCCTGTTAGTTTAGCAAAACTTACTCAAGCAGAAAAGCGGTCCTGCCTGGATTCTGTAGGATTTGCTTTGGAAAACTAGAATGGATGAAAGTCAAGAGTGTCCATAAGGCGAGTGGTACCACTTGCTTGCTAAGGTGGCGTCACAGTTAGGAGCCCGTGAGCCGTCTGGCATTTGAATAAGTCTACCCTGCATGATGAAATCCAATCCATGTTCTTCTGGGGAATACTTGATTTTGTTAGTTTAAAAGCAGCGGGGGTGGGGGGGGGTTGAGTCGCTCCCTTTTTGTGGGTGGTGTCAGTTTCTCAGCGTGCGGTGGGAGACCTCTCGGGGCCAGGGCTGTGGCCACCACTCTGATGTGAGCGTGTGAACTTACTGCTCAGCCGTCTAATTCAGTGCGAGCTGCAAAGGCAGAAGAGATTTGTTTGCCCCGTGTTGTGGTGATGGTGACAGCGTGCGTCCCCACCCAGGATGTCCCTGGGGGCCCCTGCCACCCTGTGAGCCGTGAGGGAACAGGGACAGAGCAACTGTCTATGGTCAGAATGTACTCCCCCAGTCCCCCCTTAGCCTGCAGAGTGCCCCATCTACTCTCGTCTGCACTGTCGGGTCCACCAGGATGCTTCCCTGATGATCGGGTCGTTGGGTGACCGTCTGCACTGGTGACGTGATGCCTTCAGTCATTATCCAAGCAGCTCAGGTCACGTGCATTCAAACTGAGCCTTAGACTTCTCAATTCCTGTCTTTTGTTCTCCGGACCCTTCCCTCCCCTTCGGGTGTTAAAGATCGCTTGGTGAGGGGGGGCAGCCTGGGTTGCTCAGTCCGATAAGTGGCCGACTGTTGGTTTCAGCTCAGGTCATGATCTCGCGGTTTGTAAGTTTGAGACCTAGGTCGGGCTCCAGGCTGACAGTGCAGAGCCTGCTTGGGATTCTCTCTCTCTCTCTCTCTCTCTCTCTGTCTCAAATAAACTTCAAAAATAAATAAATAAATAAAGATCACTTGGTAAAGTCTCTGGGGGGAGTCTGCTTCTGATGTATCCTCAACATGACGTTCCACTTTTTCCGAAGGGCTGATGGGTTGGGGGACGGTGTGAAGTAGGAGCAGACACCCAACTGGCTCTGAAAGGGCAGATCATCCTGTTCCATCTCCCCGTCCAGAGGGATGAGCCTCCCGGCTCCTCCTGGAGCACACACAGCAGGGGATCCCAGCCACACTCATGGACTACAGAGATTGTGCACTTCACACACAGAGATGGGTCACAAAACCCAAACTATCCCTTCCTGTTCATAAATCTGAAGTCACTTTTTTGAGTGTTTTTTTTTAAAGTTTATTTGTTCATTTGTTTTGAGAGAGAGAGAGCAGGCGGGGGGAGGGGCGGTGGGGGGGGACAGTGAGAGAGGGAGAGAGAGAATCCCAAGCAGGCTCCACGCTGTTAGTGCAGAGCTGGACGCGGGGCTCAATCTCACCAACCGTGAGATCATGACCTGAGCCAAAACCAAGAGTCGCTTAACTGGACGCTTAACCGGCTGAGCCCTCCAGGGGCCCCTTGAGTGATATTTTTTAATTAGTGAAAATTGTGTATTTGCGTGGAGGTTTTCTTTTTTTTATTATGTCTCAACTTAAAAGTAGGTTACTGGTCTTCCTACCTGGCAGGAGAGATAGATATCGTGATCACGAAGGTGGTTTCCCCAGGGTGAGGCTCATCCATTGCACTCCGGATATGCTGACCCCTGCAATTTCCCCAAATGTGGGAAACTCGACTGCATAATTTGTGGTAGTGGGGGACTGCATTCCCGCTTTCCCCTTAAAAAAAAAAGAAAGAAAAGAAAAGAAAAGAAAAGAAAAGTAAAATAAAACTAAAAAAACTAAATAGTAAAAAGATTTTAAAGGACAAAAGCAACTTTCACGGGATACCTCTTAAAATGCATTTCCAACCTTAGAACTCAAGGTGTGCATCAACACCTAGTCAGGCTTTGGGTTTTTGCAGAGTGGAGTTGGTTATAAAAAATTGTTCTTTTCAATTACTTAAGACTTCGATTTTTCTTTCCAAACAGGATGAAGACAACGTGAACATCAAGAAAATAAGAACCAGAAGTCGTCAGGACAATTAAGATGTTTAGCAAAGAAGCTTGGGAGGGGGGGCGTTGTGGGGGGCGGGGGTGGGAACAAGTGACCTGTTTCAGCACAATCTTTGGGTACATTTAAAAGGGAATTCTGTAAATAATGCTATCCGGGTGTTTAAGGAATGAATTTTTAGAATTTTCCATCTCCAGATGGTGTATTCACAAAGGCCACGTGGCGGTCAGAGACTGTTCATCACTTATAACGTGATAAAAATGTAAAACTTGGGTTGGGACGGGTGGGGGGCTTGGGACCTAGAAATGGCTTTTAATTTGACAAAATGAGCCCCGGAAGTTTCTCACCCGTCCGTCCTTGTCAGCCGTGGACGCCAGCACGTGCCACACGGCTCTGTAGATGCTTTATGTGGGTCCGTGTCCCACATCAGAATGTGAATCAGGGGCTTCTGTCCCTGTGTCGCCAGCACTGGGCAGGCACTCAGGAAACGTTAGGGAAAGGGCAGATTAGAATAGATGAATGACGTGTGTCAGGTCTTTCTTCACAATGGGGGACGCATTTGGCCCATTCGCAAAGGCTCGTGGCCACCCACAGGGGACAGCCCTGTCCTCGGTGTCCCTGCCCTGGAGGGAATACAAGTGTGACCTGGGGGAAGCTGGTGGCCCCACCTGCAAGGTGGCGGGGGTCACGGATTTAGACCGCCTGGGGCTCGCCTTTGTCGCTTGCAGAGTATTTGTCTCAGCTGGGACTGCTCGCATCTGAGAAGGCACCCACCCCTGCGTCTCAGGGCCACTGGCCAGGGTGCCCCCCACCCCCCCATCTCTGAACAGTGACAATAGTCATTCCAGCTTCTCGAACTTTCTGTCCTGTCTTTACCTTTTCCCAGCATTCTCCCCGATCTGCACCCGCCTGGGCGTTCCCGGACTGCACCTGTCGGCCTGCCTCAGTGCCCCACATGCCACCTTGTTCAGAAAATAGCACCCACCCTCCTCCTGAGGAACGGCCGTGATCCAGGGGTGTCCGTGTGAGCTGGAGCCCCCCGGGGCCTCAGACCCAGGCAGCCGGGCCTCAGCATCTTGTCCCGCCGTGTCTTGTCCGTCTTTCTGTGTTCCCTGGGGTAGAAACCAGCACACTTTCCCTCCAGTCGCCCGTCCGCGTCTCCCCCGCTGGTCTGGCCGTGTGGAGGCGAGGAAGGGACATGAGCGCAGCTGTCCCCTCCGGCGTCCCCGTCTGCCCTTTCTGTCCTTGTGTATGGCATGGAGCCACATAATAAAAACTGCTGAAGTAGCGCGTGGATCTCGGCGTGTCTCTGGGTCAACGGTAGTTGCCTTTGCTGTTCTGGTGGCTGTAAGAACATTCTGAACGGTGTCTAAGACGGTGCGGAGCGTGACGGCTTGGGGAGGGCAGTGGTGAGGGGCACGAAGTGGCACTGAAGCGTCCACAGAGCAGCTGATGGTCGAACCGGGCCAGGAGGGGATGGTGTCTTGGGAGCAGAAGAAAGAGGAGTAGTTTAGAAAGGGCAGTTTTTTGTTTTTTGTGTTTTTTTAAGAAGTTACTTTATTTGAAAGTGTGTGTCATAAACGTGTCGTTTCGGTAGCAAAATACAAGAAAATGTAAAATACTAGGATTTTTCTATGATTAAGCTGTTCTGCCAACACTTCGGATTTAGTGGTAATTATGAGCCTGGCACATAGAAACATTTCAATTAGCCACATGCCTGGGGAATGGAATATACGGGGTAATTAAAAAACCCTTTAGGGTTCAATTCTAACCAAAAATCTCACTGCAATATATCAGCAGATTTCCTCACCTTCGTCAGTGTACAGTATTTCAAGAGCACGGTGAGGGGGGTTTCATTGTACGGGGCCATAAGTGCTGGGTTAGAGAAGCTCATTCCCACACATGTTCCTTAAAACTGGCCCACAGGGCGCACCTTCCACTTAGCATTTGGGGGAAGCATCGGACCAATATTAACCAACCAGGCAGACTTCGTGTTTGGAAACAGGGTATAAGAAATAAACACTTAGGGGCGCCTGGGTGGCTCAGCTGGTTAAGCTTACAACTTCGGCTCAGGTCATGATCTCATGGTTCATGGGTTCGAGCCCTGTGTCGGGCTCTGTGCTGACAGCTCAGAGCCTACAGCCTGCTTCAGCTTCTGTGTCTCCCTCTCTTTCTGCTCCTCCCCCTGCTCACGCTCTGTCTCTCTGTCTCTCAAAAGTAAATAAACAAAAAAATTTTAAAAGAAAAAGAAAGAAACAGCTATTTGCTATGTGATTTATTGACTTCTCTGGGCCTCAGATTCCAAATAACATCCATCTGGCAAAGTTCTCGATAAACAGGAACTGCTTTTACTTTTTTTTTTTTTTTTTGGCCTCCAAACTTGTGTGACCTGCCTGCCAATCTCTCTTTGACTTTCTTTTACGTTTTTTAAATTTATTTTGAGAGAGAGAGAGAAAGAACACATACAGAGGAGGGTCAGAGAGAGAGGGGGAGAGAATCTCAAGCAACGTCTGCGCTGTCAGCGTGGAGCCCAATGTGAGACTTGATCTCATGAATGGTGATACCATGACCTGAGCTGAAATCAAGAGTCAGATGCTTGGGGCACCTGGGTGACGAGCATCGGAGATTCTGTGTTTCCCTCTCTCTCCCTCATCCCTGCTCTCTCTCAAAAATAAATACACATTTAAAAAAAAAAAAAAAGTCGACGCTTGACCAACCGAACCTTCCAGGGACGCCTCTCTCTGACTTTCTTTACTCAGTTCTGTACCTTCGTTAGGCAACACCCTCCACGCACACATACTCCTACTAATAAGTGTTCCTGCCCGCGCGCGCGCACACACACACACACACACACACACACACTCATATAAACAGTACTCCCACACACTACACAGTCATATAAACATACACATACACACACATTCCTACAATCATGTGCATGTACACACACTCCTATACACACACACATACTCATACTCCTACACGCACCACACACACACTCCTACACACACTATACACAGTCATATAAACACACTCATACATGCCACTTTTCTCTGGGACTTTCCCCACCTGCTTCCTGCCTCACCAGTGACTTCCTCCCGTCCCGAGCTCAGCTCCCTCAGAGAAGCCTGGGCACCTCCTTCCCAGGCCAGGTTGGGCCCCCCGTTTCTTGCTCCGGAGTCATCTGGTGCTAACGTGTGGCGTGTGGGTCTGTGGAAACCAGAACGCCGAGTGCCGGCCTCCTCTGCCAGGGCCAAGCGTCGCCCTCCGTGAAGGGCAGAGCAGGATTCAGTGCCACCTTTAGTCAGTAGTGAGACCCGGGGCGTAGGACGCGCCCAGCCAGCTGTCCATGAGATGAAATTTTAAAACACGAGGTATTTTTATTAAAGGGAGGCAGGGCGGGGGGCGAGCAAACTCAGGAGCCAAGAGCGGGGAGCTGCAGCCCGGGGCTGAGTCGGAGGCCCTGCTTCGCCAGCCTGTCTCCATCTCCAGCTCTGACGGGTCTCCTCCTGGCCGCTGGGCCGTCGCCTTACCTCTGGGAGCGGCCCTCGGGTAGAGGACGGAACTCCCGGTAAGCCTAGTCATATATCTGGTCAGTCCGGGCACAAACGGGGAGGTGGGGTTGGGGGGCAGGGACAGGGATTTGACCCAGGGCCGCCAGAGATGGCCAGGAACGTGTACGTTGCTCAGACTTTCATCTGGCCGCCCGCATAGGTCCTGGATCCTGGGAGCCGATGCGGGGCAGGTCCCGGAGACAGGAGCCGGTGGCGAGTGAGATCGTCTGGGGGGGGGGGGAGGTTTTCCATCAGGAGATAGAGGAAAGTCGGGAGTCTGGAAATGATCACCACGTGGAGGGGCTCAGGAAGGAAGGAAGGGAGGGAGGGAGGGCGCCCTCAGCCCTGCACACAGAGCAGGAATCTGGGCCGTCGGTACCCATCACCTCACCAGGTCCAGGCACCTCAGGTTGTCACGGAAAGACTCCGGATGCCAACTCCATAAATTCTACCTCCTCACTAAAAATAATTTAAGATATGTGATGGGGATGCTAGGCTTTGCTGGGCTTTCTAGAAGCTTCCTCTAGATGAGCTGCTGGAGTCATCTTCTAGGAAACAGGTTCCAGCCGCAGCTCCAGGGACCCCGATTCCGGTGCCTTGCAGGGGGTCCCGGCCCCCGAGGTGTCTCCAGAACGTGGTCCCGGTCTTACCCCCTCTTGGCGCTACTGGCACGGAATGCCACGCTGGCACTGAGCTTTCAACAATCTGTAAATTTCAGTTGCGTGAATGTTCCTCTTTATGAAGGAATAAAATACCCATGACTTGTCCCCATGAAGCCCCTCCTCCTGTCTACATGATGATGTCACAGGAAGGAAGGTTCTATTTGACACAGTTGCGGGGGCCCTGCTGTTGGGCAGACATGGCCGTGTGCGTATGAACCCAATCTAGAACTGGTGAGTCCCAAAGCTTCCTGGACAAGAGGCTTTAACAGCCGTCATTGACGAGCTCTTACAAAGTACTGAAGGGAAATATTTATAACGTGAATCCCAAAGGGTTAGGGTCTTTCTATAAAAAGAATCACAGAGGAATCAATAATAGGTCTAGGAACTAAATCAATGGGGAAAAGTCACATGACACAACTTGGACAATGGATAAAAAACGTGAATTGGTGATCGCAGCTGAAATACAAATACTGAAAGTGTGAAAGGATGCTCAACCCACTGGAAGTTAGGGAAATGCAAATTGAAATGACATGATTTTTTTTTTCTTTTTTTTGGCTCTCAGTTGTGCACAAATGAAAGGGATTCGTTAATATCGAGGGTTAGTGACGTAGGGAAACGTCCACCACCGCCCCCTCCCCCCACACCATGGGAGGTAAAGCGCTGGGGCATTTCTGGGCAGTGGGATTTGGCGGTTCCTAGTTATGTTTAGCAAGAGTATGCCCTTCGCCCCAGAAACTCCACCCCCAGGAAGCTCTCCTAGCTGCAGTTTTGTGGACAAAAGTACACGTGTGCGAGCGTTTTCCCCGTAAAATGATGCGGGAATGTTGTGAGCCAATGGAAGTAAGCTCGTGCCCATCACGGAGCCATGGCCATCAGTTTGTGAGGTCTGGAGAACAAGCTGCGCTCTGAAACCGCAGAGGAGGGTGTTCGAGTCCTGACACGCCCAGATGCTAAGACAGACATTCGAGCACACGGGGAATTCACACAACTGCGCACAGGTGGTATATTTCATCGTGGAGGATGCGAGGTTTTCATATAGTAATCTCTCTAACGTTCAGATGTAGCTCACCGTCGAGTCCCCCGCCGCTACAAGGTACGTCCCTAATCCACACCTTTCAGTCCTAGGGAGGTGCGAACCTTCCTCAGTGGATGGTCAACCTGCCTGTCTGCCTGTCTGTCCAAGGTCACGTGCACATGATGTCTGGTTTGAAGGTTTCCATTTGATGGGGGCGAGGGGAGGGGTGCTTCCTCTACGGCAGGCCTGGCGCTCCCTCCTTTTCTGAGGCTGTGGGCTCAGGCAGGCTGGTTGAGTCACTTGGTCCCTGGTTGGCTGGTTGATGCCCATACTCACCCCTACCACCCTCTCCCAAACCTCCTTTCTTTCACCCCTGCTCCCCTGTCTGCTCTCTCCCTTCTGGGGTTCCATTTACCCAAAGACGGTAAGAATAGCAAAGGTCTTGCTGAGCCCAGAACTGATAAGGGGCAGAGAGACAGACCCATAAGGAACACTCAATAATTAAATGGCCCGTAGGTAGGAGCGAATGGCAGTTCAGAGCAGGTGATATTTTTCAGAGGGAGGAGGGGAGAGGAAAATAAAAGTTTATGAAATCATCCATTTTAACAACTGCAACAAGCCTCATAAAATTTATTAAAGAAACACAACCAATAATAACAAGCATATGTTTAACTTCCACGTCAGGCCTGAAATAATCTTGTGTGTGGATCCAGAAAGGACGTGAAGGCGGAAGGGGTCCAGAGAGAGATGTGAGGGTGACCAGAGACATACAGATGTGCAAAGGGAGGCCTTAGAGGACTTCCAATTCTAGGATGAAAACCAGTGTTGGACGGGCTTTGTGATTCCACCTGGCGGTACACTTTACGCACCGCGTCATCTTCCTGAGGGACTCCAAGAAACCAGTGCTTGGAGCACAGATCCCTGTCTGGAATCTAGAAGGAGCACGGGCTCCCAGAAGGGCGAGTTACTAGCTCGTGCTGCACACACAGCTCACACCTTCTGAAGAGCAGCTGGGAGCTGCAGCCACAAACCCCCATCACCCCCTTCCCTACCCCTGGCCACTGTGTCCATGGTCGGGGCCATTTCCGTGCCAGGGCCAAGCCAGATTTTAGAAGCCCTAAATTAATTGTCAGTATAAATCAATGTCTACCTCCTAATGAATGTCTTGTCTAAACGGACATAAGGCACAGGAATTCAATGAAGAGATTTCATGGAAGAAAGAGACGCAGGCTGGAAGTCAAAGTAAAGATTTATCCTTGCATCAGACTGTTTTAGATCTTGCAATTTGCATATACAAAGAATTCAGCAACATTCACTGGCATTATAATCAGAGCAAGATCAAATTATAGATGTAATAAAAGAAAATATGATAGTTGAAATGGGGAATACAGACATATATTAAAAAGATTGCACATAAATTAAACACGACTTAGTTAAACAAAAGTATCAGTAACCATACATTTTAAAAATAACATGGGCATGTCTTTGCTGAAAACAGACGTGTCAGGCTCATTTAAAAAAGTTTTTAAAAACACATAAAAATACCTTTTAAAACACTGGTACGCATTCTTCATTCGTCTATCACATGGAGAGAAACAGGAGAGTGAGTCACACAGTGACCGTACAGCTCGGCGATCAGAACGATAGGCTCCTAATCGCTATTTGGCATTTGGATGCAGCCGCATGCAACATACAAAAAACGTGACGGTAAGCGCGGCGACGCGGCGGCGCCGACAGCGGGGCGCTGTTATGTACATTGGACCTTCTTTGACCGAGGGGGAAGAGGAGGTCAGCTTTCCCGGTTACACAGAGAGGGCAGTGCGTCCCCAAGTGCCCAAAGGGACTGGCTGGACTGGCTTGGGTGGGTGGGTGGGGGCCTGGACAGAGGCCAGGAGGCCATAATTCCCAGGTCCCCAGAAAGGCAAATACTGCCCTCGACTGGGGACAGGGGCCCTATGTCCAAGGGATAGCGGCTTCTGCTTTGTTTCCAGAGTTTGGAAGGACCAAAGTGGGGGGCAGAAAGCCTGCAGTGGACACACGGATACAGGACACACAACAGGGCACTTTCCCAAGGGAACCCCTGATAAATTCAGTCTTAATCTCCATATAAGAGATGCCAGGTGGACCACTGAAGGGCCCGATGGATTCTCACGAGGGCTCCTAAATTAGGCCTAAATCCATTCCCTTGACTTTGACCCCTCAAGTACATCGCAAGTCACCTTCATCACAACGTAACCAGCTCCGTTTCTAGGGTTTGGTTCTCTCTCTTCTCCTTCAGCCAGAGACAGGCTTTGGGTGGGGGACTTTAACAATGAAAACATACGGGACCAACGGGTGCGTCTTGCAAAGCTGCCTCCATTTTCCTCTCCGACCAAAATGCATCCTCATTGTCCGGGGGAGGACGGAGGGACGCATTCCGCAGCGCGTGTGCCTGGGGATGCGGCCGGCGGTGGTGACATAAGTCAGAGTTGTGCTGGCGCCTCTTCTGCCCTGGGGTGGAGCTCGAGGGGCCGCGGAGGCTTGATCACTGTGAGGCTATTGTAAGTATCCAATGCGCCGTGGGGTCGCCTTGCCCACACCAGAAATGGACACGGATGAACAGAGTAATGAGAGGGTAATGCGATCACTTCTCAGTGGAAATGTCAAATAAGGCCTTTATATTTCTTTTTGAAAGCAAAAAAAAAAAAATACAGAAGGTACCCCCAAATGCACATGTTAAGTGCCTTTAGTATGTTAGAACAGGTGTCTTCATTTTCGTATATATATTGTGCTCATCTGCTACCTAACGGCCATAGAAAGATCACTGTCATTAGAGTCAACTTTTCTACATTCATCCTTCTGCCCGCCTCGCAAGCCAATCCAGCCTGGCAGTGAGATTGTTATTATCCAGTGTCAAAGGTCTCAGTAGTATTTCCATTCAAAAATAAGTTAGCTTTTAGATTAAGGATTTCTCTCTCTTTTTCTTTTATTTAAATATTGAGGAGCGGGACTTAAAACAAAACTGTATAAATCTAGATTTTAAGATTTCTTTTCTTACAAACAATCTTAGCTTGTACAAGATTTTTTTTTTAAATACCAAAACGCTTCCCGGAAAGTTGAAAGCGTAATTGCTTGTGGTGGGTCTCCCCAAACGTGTGCTCTTTGCATCTGCACGAGTCAGATGTTTGGCTCTGTCTGAACATGAGGATTAGGAAGTGGTCTGCGATGAGCCTCTGGGTGGCTCAAGACCGGCTGCGCAGTGGTGGCAGAATGGGAGGCAAGAGTGAGGAATGCAGTTGGTTTGATTCTCAGAGGCTCCTCGGAGCCAAACACCCAGACAGACGGACAGCACGTGGCCACGTGAGAAGGCAGCCTGGCAGCTGGTTATGCCGCACCCAAGGCCATGGGTTAACCGTACCACCTGCATTCACATCCCCTCCCACCCCCATCCCGGCCCAGGGAGCACAGACCTGCCGTGAGTAAACACGTGTTTACCTATTACTATATAGTCACCAACTGCGCTCATGGATTTTATACCTGCACTCAGGCTGTGATGCCTTTGACCTTTAAAATTGTAAAAGTAAACCACATGAGTTGAGACTGAGGACTTCATAGCATTCCCTACTTACAGTGCATCTCCATGAACTTTCACCTCCCACAAAATGCCGCTACGCAGGGCTCTAAAAATCAGTGTCTGGAAAGGGAATTTTCAACTGATTTTTGAGTCCTCGACCGCTTTCGTAACAGCAGGCTCTGTTTATTCTCCTGCGTTAAGCACACATTGCATATTAAGATTTTTAACATTTAGATGTGCTGAACGTGTGAAATTATATGATGTGATGAATCTAATGCAAAATTAAACTGTTTACTGATATTAGCAGAAATGTATTATATGGGCTATTACTTGACCTTAATACATTATTCCAGTTTTTAAAAGGGGTATTTAAGATTTAATAACTTTATAGCAGGTGGCCTTTTAAAGCGTAACAAAATATATACAAAGAAATTAGGACGGGTATTAATGTCAACTATGAAATAAATTAACATGATTTTTATAAAATATACTGACCATTAAATTAAAAAATATTTTAAGGCAGGAATTTTCATTTGAAATTAGCATAATCAGAAAATATATCAATAAAATCTTGTACCACTTTGTAGCAGAATTCATACTGTTCCTGAAAAAAAGAAAACAAAACAAGAATACATTAAAATTATATTTTTAAAAAATTCCATTAATTTAATTAGGAGAAACTATTCAAAAGGAGCCAAAAAAAGTCTGACTGGTTACATGATTTACTTTTCAGGCACAGAAATATTTCCACGTAAAACTGTTTTTTTTTTTTAATATATAAAAGTTATCAATGATTAGTTTCAAACTAGCATATTTTAGCAGAGTCTGAGTAAAAGGTCTTCAGTTTTCGTACTTAGAATGGAAAATGGGGGTGCCTGGGGGGCTCAGTTGTTTAAGTGTCTGACTTTGGCTCAGGTCATGATCTTATTTTTTTTTTTTTTTTAATATTTTTAATGTTTTATTTATTTCTAGGAGAGAGAGAGAGACAACATGAGCAGGGGAGGGTCAGAGAGAGAGGGAGTCACAGACTGAAACAGGCTCCAGGCTCTGAGCTGGCAGTCAGCACAGAGCCCGACGCGGGGCTCGAACCCACGAACCGTGAGATCATGACCTAAGCGAAAGTCGGACGCTTAACCGACTAAGCCACCCAGGCGCCCCATCAGGTCATGATCTTATGGTTCATGAGTTCGAGGCCCACATCTGGCTCTGTGCTGACCGCTCACAGCCCACGGCCTGCTTTGGATTCTGTGTGTTTCTCTCTCTCTGCCCCTCCCCTGCTCGTGCTCGCTTGCTCTCTCTCAACAATTAATAAATAAACATTAAAAAACTGGGAACAACTATTTTGAAATAAAAATGAAAAAAAAGAATATTTAACTTCAAAGAAACTTCGTAATGTAACAAAGAAGTAATCTATGAAGGTTAAAAAAGATGAAAATCTGGGGCATTTTTAAGTTTCCATTTACCTAAAAAGGGACATCGTTTTATATAAATTTTAGAATTCAAAAGAACATCACCTTCTTTTTAAGGTATTTGACTTAGTAAAATGTTTACTCCTGCGCATCATTTGATTCTCGCCCTCCTCTCTGCTCTGGGAGGGGGTAAGGCTGGAGCCGGGTTGGTGGGCTGCTGAGGAAGCAGCCACGTAGGACCTCTGTGGCGTCCACCAATGGTGGGCAGTCCACAGGAAGACGTAAAAGACGGAGCAAAGGGCAACTGGTGGCAATTTTGGAAAACCGTGTGTGCACAATGATCACCGGGCAGACGGGGAGTGGACTCCAAAGGTCTGAGTAACAGCAGAGAGCAGCTAACCTGCTTCTCAAGGAAAGGAGTCTGGTTACTTGCAGACTCTGGTAATCGGCTGGCCGAGGGGGCACAGCGGCCGGGCTCTAGAGTGAGGGGCAGGGGATGCAGGGGACATCGAGTGTGGCCCCCCAGCCCTTCCTGTCTTCTTTCCCAATACAATGGGTTCAGCTTTTTCTGTAAATACACGTTGAACAAATGTCTAAAGGCTTTGGGGTTGAGAGATGGCCAACATTAGCCTGCTGGGGCCTTCGGGCATCTCCGTCCCGCAAGCATGGGCTGGAGCCTGGCTTTCAGGGAAAGAAACTATGGACAGAAGTTGGTCGTAGGACCACAGGGAAGTCACTGGGGGAGCCAAGAAGGGACTGTGGGGTCCCAGCTTCCGGCTGCTGAGATCCCCACTTGGTCATCCAGCCCCCGGAAGGAAAAAAAAGTGAATTTTTGGAGGGAAATTGTAATAAATATATAGACTTTCTTTAAAGAGGTAAGCATTTTCATGAAGAAGTATGGGCCCATCTTAGGAGTCTCCAGAATGCCCAGCGATTAGGGGCAGGTTCATGAGCGAGGGCTCCCACCGTGGGGTCAGTCAGTCTGCAAGCATCTCCTTAATGCGTTATGTTTGCACACCCTGCGCTCTCTTCCAAAGTGTCCCTGCCAAATGCTAGATCCGTGCCCAGAGCACAGCAGGTGGGTCCTCTGACCCTGAAGTCAGGCAGGCTGGGAGTGGGTCTCACTGTGACACTTAAACCCTCGGGTGGGTGATGTGACTGTCCCACACAGAGGTCCCTTGTGAGCAGACACAATGATACGGCGAGGAGAAAATAAGCACAACACGTGTCAGGCACCTGGTGTCCCAGCACACACCACCAGACAGTTATTGTGAAATGATTATCTTATTCTTCATTTATTTCCGGGCTCCCCACTGATTCTGCAGCATGTTCGATGCGCTGCTGGGCATTAGGCTAGATGCTGACTTTCGAGGTCAGGATATAAATGCTCTGTTCGTGTCTCTGCATCCAGGAGCACAGATCCGAGCCAAACGACACCTGTGCGCAGCTTCCCAGTGAGGGGGGCAGGGAGAAGCGGAGGTGGGGAAGCGCAGGGCTGAGTTAGGAGGGCACTCGGATGGAGGTGCTCTCGGAGATGGGATACACTGGCCAGACCAGAGGAGTTTACAAGAGCTGAAGTCCCTTAAAAGCCAAAAAGGTGTTTAGGGGCACCTGGGTGGCTCCGTCGGTTAAGCGTCCGATTTCAGCTCAGGTCAGGATCTCATGGTTCGTGGGTTCAAGTCCCGTGTCGGGCTCTGTGTTGACAGCTCAGAGCCTGGAGCTACTTTGGATTCTGAGTCTCCCTCTCTCTCTGCCCCTCCCCTACTCACACTCTGTCTCTCTCTCAAAAATAAACCTTAAAATTTTTTTAAAAACCTGAATTTCTTTTTGAAGCTATTCCTGTGATTATTAATTATTATTTTCGTCTAGAAAATCCTCCATGGGGTGGTCTATCTCTGTATTTTCCGCCCAAAGTCATCCAAATTCACAATGCCCATTGGAGATATCAGCTGTCAACAGGCAGGCATAACCCTGAGAAGAGGCATCTAGCACCTTCCAGAGCCCTAGTACGGATGCTAGGGCTCCAGGAAGAATGGAAGAGCCTCAGGTTTCCACCGGGCCATGGCCCGAGGAGGGGCGTGTGGGGCGAGGAGGGTGGGGGTCGGGCAGCAGCACCCAGTTTCCTCTACTGACAGTGGCTCTCAAACCTGCACTTGCTTCGGGACCGTCTGGGAATGCTGGAGAGGTGCCGATGGCTGCGTGGCTCCCGCCCCCAGCAAGCGTGAGGGCCGCCTGGCCGTGGAGGAGAGCTGTGCACACTCTCCAGGCCAGGCTGGTGTGCCCTCAGCGTGAGAACCGCGCTCTCACCCGGCCCGGGGGTGCGAGGTGGACGCTGCCCTGCTCAGGTGACCCTAGGGCTGAGCTGCCCCTGCGCTGGGGATCCCGTGAGCATGGGGCAGGGGCGGGTCAGGAGGGCACGTCTAAAAATAGGAAGGCGTGAGGGAAAGGAGGGGTGAGAGCATCTTTTGAAACTGCACTTTCTGGGGTCGAATAATTGCCTGTCGAGGAGGCTTGTCTTCTGCAAACCAGGAAGCGTGTGTTTCTGTCACAGAATGAAAGAGAATGGCCCTAGAATCTGGCGGAATAGTCACGGTGACACACAAAGCTGGTATATTCAGTGCCTCTGTCCAAGAGGTCTGACAGTCTGAAGTCACGGCCCCTCCCTGCCCAGGGGACCGTCCCCAGCCAGACTCAGGGAAGGGAGAGGGGTCCGCGAAGCTTCCCCGGGTTGAGTGCCAGAGGCTATTTCCAGTGGGAAGCTCATCTCCTCTCTCTCCACACACTCAAGCTCCTTTAACGACACATATACCAAACTCGACTTGAGACGGTTCTCGGCCCTTCCGGAAACACCCTCACCACCCAGTGTCTTACCAGAGTCTGCACCATGTGCGGTCTCTGCAGCCGTAGACTCTTCACAGCCTGGAATACATCTAGAAGGCCCTCAGCTTTCACTCGCTCCAGAATGTTGCTGAGAGCGATGAAGGTACCCGTTCGCCCAGCTCCAGCACTGTGGAGGAGACAGTAACGGGCACAACCGGACCTGCCCAAGGGGACGGGACAGGGACAGCCTGCAGCCCACCCCCACCCATCAGCACAGGAGCCGTCGTCCCCGAAAATGGTAAAGTTTGGGTTTCCAGTGATCATCCAGGTGGAGCGAGAGTCCACAAACATGGAATTCCAGAAGCACCTGCCCAATTACAGCAGGTGGCTCGCTCCTGAGGTGAAGGACCAGGTACAAGGTTTCAAGCTTGTGACCTGCATAGACGGGTGTGGCCCCGGGTGTGGCCCTGGCATCGGGGGCATCAGCGCTTCCTGGGAGCTTGTCAGAAATGGGAAGGCTCCTGGTTCAGGTAGGTAACTGTCTAGATTCTCCTTCTGTGCAAGGGACCTGCCTTGTGAGAGGCGGCGACTCACAAGCTGTGATGTTAACGACAGAGGGCGCTGGCTGCCCGGGACGGTGAGATAAGGGGCACCCCCAGCAGCTAAGATCTGGGTCCACTCCATCTAAGATGATCATTTTCTTGATGAACTGGGTAAGCCCACAAGAGAGACAGACAAACGGCTGGGCCTAAAGTGGGTCGGTTCAGCTGGCTTGTCACAGAGGGCCCTCCGGGCCCCAGAGTCCCACGTGTGGGCTGGTCCTAAGGCTCCTGTCCGACTTCAGTGGCCTGTCCCCACGTCTGCTCTGTGGGGTCCTGTTCGCCTTCGCATCCCTGGGGCCCTACACGTGCTGAACTTAGTCTGGGTCTGCGGAGGCAGGGGCTCATTTCTAGTATATTCTAAATGACTTGTACAAAGCCCCCAGGAACTGGAAACCAAGGCGTGTGCCCCACCTGCTGGCCAGGCCGGAAGTGCACCCAGGCCCATCCCAGGCAAAGAGTTCCAAACCCCCGCCTCCCACCGCGTGAAGTCCAGGCTCCCTGGCGGCTATGAGGTGTGGGTGGCGTGGCAAATGGCAGTCACAAAAAAATGGAAGCCATGTGTGGAGAAGGAACTAGAAGTGCAGCTTTAGAAGCAAATTAGCACCCCACGAAGGAAAACACCCCAAACTCCTGCTGGGAAGAGATTTGTTATGGTGGCCAAGACGCCCTGCTGCCATGGGAGAGGGGTCCCGGCATAACCAGAGCACATCAGCTCGGAAGGAAGGAAGATGAGCTGCACGCCTTTGGATTTGGCCAGATTCACCTTTCCACACTTGCGATGCTGCTAATCAAGGACCTTAGTGGGGCGCCCAGCTGCCTCCAGGGTACCCCCGGGCATGTCCCTCTTTTCCTCCCTTGTGCCGGCCTTGGGGGCGGGGCTCGAGTGGGGTCGCAGGCCTTGGGAAGCCATCCCAGCCTGGACATCCTCAAGAAGACCCTCCTGCCTCGAGGGCGTGAGGTAGCCCGGACTTGGGTCCCCAGGCACAGGGAGATGACGGGGAGGCGTGGGCACAGCAGCCAGAACAATGTTGCAAAAGGAAGGCAAGCAGCTGGAGCTCAGGACTGGGTTTGTCAGAGCTGGGCCTGGCGGGATTTTTGAGGACTCAAAGGGCATATGCAAACGTGCTTTTGAGCCGTTCCCTGACTCCTCCCCCAAATGCGTTCTGCATGTATGCGTTTCTGCATTTACGTGACCCTATCTGTGTAAGGGAAGGTGAAAAGTACAGTCTAGGGAGGTGACGCGCTGGGGAGCAGTAAGCCGGGTGTGGGGTGTGGACCGGCCCCACCAGCAGGGGGCGCTCACCTGCAGTGCACAGTGATGGGGTGGTTGCCCGTCTGCTGCTGCTGCTTCTGCACGGCCGCAATGAGGTCGATCATGCCTTTGCCCTCGGCTGGGATCCCGATCTCGGGCCAGCCGTGGAAGTGGAACTGGCGCACCACTCGGGTCTGCTCCTCCTGGCGGGCCAGGGGCTGTGGGTGGGAACGGCGTTCAGTGTCGCCTGACCACACGACCCTGAACACCGAGGAGCAAGCCCCGGGCCACCCATGGGACCCGCGCCAAGGCTTGAGGTCCTTGGGGCCTTTGACGGCCGGCACAGTCCCCATCTGGTGGGCCTGAGGGTCCTGACCAGGCCGTCTGGGGGCTGTGCACACCCTAAAGCACAGGCCTGCCCTAAAGCACAGGGCTGCCAGTATTTCCTTCCGGGGGGGGCGGGGCAAGACGTCCAGAGGAAGTCCCCGGAGCCCCCCGAAGTGCCCGCCAGATACCTTCATGGCATCCCTGGCAGCTTTGCTGGAGAGAACAGGGTCATATCTTTCTTAAGAAGCCAGGACCCCTCCTGTCCCAGGGGTCTGAGAAAGCCTGGATAGTTCTCTGTGGCTTCAGCACGCCCTTCCTTCCTCCAGCCCCCCACCACCGCCATTTCTCCTGAAGCGGGAGGGGTGGCCATGCGATGCCTCTAGGAGCTGGCCTCTCTCCTCCACCATCTCGCGCAGCAAGGAGGCGGGTGACCCGCAGGGTCCGAAGGTTGTAGGAGATGTGCCCCTTCGTATCATGGCCCCCTATTCACCGCACTGACCGTGCACACTGATGCACCAAACAGAGAAGGCTGGAGGCGGGACATCCTGGTACAGTCACCAGCTGACCCTCGGGATGTTGCGGCGCGTTCTGTCCACAAGGGGTGACGGCACTCTGGCAACAATACCTGATTGAAAGTGACCAGGAAGTCCCGTATGCTGATGGCTTCGGAAAGTGTATCGCTTTTTATTTCGATTGTTATCTCGCCGTGAGTCACCGAGCCCTCTGCTGGCCAATACTGGTAGCATTTATCCTTGGGGGATAAAAGAACGTTTTAAGTCTCATAGCAAATAACTTGCTGTTAGCAGTTTGAGGATATGATGCAGACTCGCTCTCAAACTATTTAACATCTTCATCTGACCAAGTGGATCACATGTGAACACGAATATGAGTGTCCACGAATACCTGCTGACCAAGGGAATCAAGAAACAGACATGCGTGTATTTGCAACTTAGATACAGGATGGTAGTGACGTGATGGAAGGAAAAGATTATTCTAGAACTGGAGTTAGAAAATTTGTCTTCCATATAAGAAAAGGGCTGGGTCCCTGACTCACAACCTACCAGGGCTCACAGGAACAGTCCAGCCCTCCTGGAGTTGATCAGTGTACAACCTACACTATCGTATGTAGTAAGTTTGAGTCTTCCTAAAAATAAGCCCAGATAAGTTAAGACTTAAGGTCAAAAATGAAACTGTGAAAACCTTAGAAGGAAATGCCTTTTCATTCTGAGGTGCAGAAGGACTTGCTAAGCAAGACCCCACAAGAGCTAACCACCCACAGCACGAAGGTTGTGACATCAGATGATGACACGGTGAACTTCCCTCCATCAACAAACATCACCAAAAGAGTGTAAAGACATCCCATCGACTGCGGCGAGAAAGCTGCGGTACTTAAAACTGACAAAGGGTCAGTATCAAGAATAGATCTAAATAATTCTTATCAGTCAACATAAAAAGAGCCAACAACTCACTAGCAAAATGGGGGAAAGGCACGGCCAGGCATTTTACACAGAGGAAACACACCGTCTACAAATATACGAAGTGAGGCTTGCCCTCCTGGGAATCGGAGAGATGCCAGTCAAAGCTACAAAGGGATGAAATGTACTCCTGTTCAATCAACAAGAATGAGGGTGCCTGACGGTACCAGGGACGTCGATGAACCATCTCTCTCATACACCCCCAGTGTCCACTTTGGAAAACAGAACCACTTGGCAAAGCAATTAGGAGGTGTCTAACTCAAATTCGAACTGTCGCACACTCTCCAACATAGCATTTTGTCTCTCTGGAGCCTGCTCATCCTGGGGCTGTATGAGACAAGGGGGAGGTACCAGTAGCGCCATTTGTAAAATAAGAAAGTGGCATCGACCCAAATCCCCGTGGCGGAAGAAGGAACAGATGAGCGGACGCAGGATTATAGTCCATAGAGTGGAACAAGATAAGTATAATTATGAATGAACCACAGCAAAACGCATCAGCGTAGAAAAGTATCAAAACCGTCATTCTGAGTGAAAAGAGCAAGTCCCAGAAGGACACATAAGGTCATGATACCCTGTGCATAAAGTTCAAAAGCAGTAGTTTCTTTAGACACACACGTATGTGATCTATAAAGATTTTTGAAGAAGCAAAGAGCACATCCGCCAGGATGGCTTTAAAAAGACCAGTGATAATAAATGTTGGTAGAATATGGAGGAACTGGAGCCCTGTCCACTGCTGGCGGGAATTCGAAATGGGGTAGCTGTGTGGACAACAGTCTACAGCGCTTCCAAATGGTAAGCTATATGAATTTGCAAGACAGAGTTATGATACGGCCCAGCAATTCCGCCCCCCGGCATCTCCCCAAGAGAAATGAAAACACATGTCCATGTAAGAACTTGAACACGAACGTTCCCAACATAACTCATAATCGCCCAAGAGTGGAAACAACCCAAATGTCCATCAGCTGATGAACGGATAAACAAAATGTGGTCTGTCCATACGATGGAATATTATTTGTCAAGAAAAAAAGAGCTTATTCCTGATGGTTAAGCCTTGAAGACGTGACGCTAAGTGAAAGAACTCAGTCACACTATACATGTTGTATGATCTCATTTGCATGAAACATCCAGAATAGGCAAATCCATGGTCAGAAAGTAGATTAGTGGTTTCAGAAGCTGGAGAAAGAAGGAATGGGGAGTGGCTGTTCACGGCTGTGGGGTTTCCTTTGGGGGATCATGAAAATGATCTGAAATTAAATAGTGGTGATGTTACACAACCTGTGAGTATTTTAAAAATTGCAGGGTGCCTGGGTGGCTCCGTTGGTTAAGCGTCTGACTCTTGATTTCGGCTCGTGTCATGTTCTCACGGTTCAAGAGTTTGATCTCCCAAGTCGGGCTCTGCGCTGACAGCATAGAGCTGCTTAAAATTCTTTCTCTCTCTCTCTCTCTGCCCCTCCCCAGCTCGTGCACACACTCTAACTTTCCTTCAAAATAAGTAAATAAACTTTAAAAAATATCGCTGACTTCTACCTTTAAAAAGGTGAACCGAATGGTATGTGAATTATATGTCAGTATAGTGTTTCAAAAAAAGCAGACAACACAGATTCAGGGTAGTGGTTACATCTTGAGAGGGGACCCAGACAGATGCACATTACTGGTAGAAGTTTGGCTTTTCAGCTGGATAGCGGGTTCACGAGTATTAACTATGTTATTCAGTGAACGACACAAAAAGGCCCTGGATGGGTCTCTGGGGAAAGGGAAACATTTGACTCATTCAGTCCACCCAGAACGACATCTGTAAGGTACACACATCAACACCTACATCCTTACATCTCGGAGAAAGTGAATACATGCGTGCTGTCCAACAGGCTTTGATCCAATCTGCACTGTGGACAGTACAGGGCAGGTTAAATGAAATGTCGGCTAAGAGCAAAAGCCAGTGGGGGGTCATGGCTGAGCAAAGGGACCCAGTGGGGGTCACGGCTAAGCAAAGGGAGCCTCTTTCATTTCCGGCCTGGCTCCCTCCCCATCCCTGTGGCCTCAGTGGCTGACAGCTGCCATGGCAGGGGACCTTGGGGCGGCGTAGGTTCTAGGGAGGCCCCCAGAGGGGCGAGGCCGCGGGCGTCCCTGACCTGCTCTCTCTCCTGGACCTCCGTCAGCATCACGACTGTGTGGCACTTCCACTCCCAGACCATCCGCCAGAAGTCTTCCACTGTATGCGCCAGGGGCCCTTGGGTGGCGATAAAATAGTCCTTCTGTCGGTAGCCCTTCAAAGGGGGAACAGAGATTAAAGTCTGACTTCCTTTCCCCCTGGTTCCAGTATGGACAGGGGGGTGCAGGAGAGGCCAGGGCCCGGCCAGGGAAAATGTTCCAGCTTCCAAGGCCGGGCCAGGCACCAGCAAACCCACATGCACACGGCGATGGCTCAAGATGGCCATTCTCTCTGCGATCCAGTCACCTCGCCGGCAGCACCTGGGGTCGCCCCTGAGTGGGGGGCCGGAGCCACCTGGCCCGGGCCACCTGAGGGAGCTCCGGTGGCCCTGTTCTCATGTGTTTCTGTGTTTCGGCTCCGTTAGCATCATGGTGGTGGGCTGGGGTTGGACACAGAGGAAGTGGGTTCAAATTCAGTTCCTCCATGCGGCCCAAGTGACCTGTGGCAGCGTTTTCTCATCCTCGAATGGATGGTCTGATGCAGATGAGGCCACAGTGTCCTTCCCCATCCACTCCCCAGTTCAGCGCGCTGTGCGAGGTGACAGCCGCTAACTGTGAGCCCAGAGCGCACACCCGCGTCGTCCACGCGGAAGACACAGGAGGGAACAGAAATTGCAAGACAGCCAGCCATGCAAGGGCCCATGTGACACTGCTGCACATTAGATGTAAAAGAAACACGGCTGTAACTCAAAGTCTGAATGAAAGCCCCCAAATTCCTTAGCAGTGTGCCTCCTGCCTCTGTTTCCAAAGTTCATTATTCTTTTTTTTTTTAACCAAGTAATTCTGCTAACGAAATAGTTTGGATTTCAGGACACCTTCCCGATCGTGAAAATGGGTTAATTAAGAGTCTGCATGATCACAGATGAAGGACACAGGCGTCTTTTAACAGGGCCGCTCTACTTACATCGATAAAGGAGGCGTTGATGTAGTCTGTGTATTCTTGACCCCTTTTCATGGAGAGGATCACCCGATTGAAGTCATCTGCAAAGCAGGGCAACCCCTCAGTCACAGCACAAACACTGCCCTCCCTTGCGAAGCTCAGTCTGTTGCAACAAGCTTCCAAAACACAAAACTTGTTAATAAAATTGCAAAGTCAAGTCAAGTCCCTGGAAGGTTTCCTCTATAAAACAGGTTAATTGAATTGGCCCAGAAAATTGTGTTTTGGTAGGAAAGCTCTGAAAATATTCCACTTGTCATTTTCATGTGCCATGAATTGACGTAATTCATACCAAAATATGAGTGTTAAAAATATTGCATCTCAGGAGTGAAAGCCGTGTGGCCGGGTAGGCGACCTGGAGAAGTGGCCGCAGCCACACAGAAGCCAGGGTCAGAGGCCAAAGCACGCTTCACCTAGCATTCATGAACTTAAAAAAAAAAATTTTTTTATTGTTTATTTATTTTTGAGAGAGAGGGAGAGAGAACAGGGGAGGGACAGAGAGAGAGGGAGACACAGAATCTGAAGCAGGCTCCAGGCTCGGAGCTGTCAGCACAGAGCTCGACGCGGGGCTCGAACCCACGAACCGTGAGATCATGACCTGAGCCAAAAACAGACGCTCAACCAACTGAGCCACCCAGGGGCCTCAGGCTCTACACATTTTTGATGCCCAGCAACCACTGAGGCAAGTCAGGGACCCTGAGTCTACATTTGCAACCAGGTGCTCTCTCTCTTCAAGGAGCATCCTCTCCCTTCCTTTCCTGTGGCTCCTCTGATCCCCGCGGGGTCCGTTTCCTTCCCTGCACCCAACAACCACCGGCACCACCTTGTCTTTCTACCCCTTACGTGGGACCTCAGGGCAGGCCAGGGTCCCAACCCCACCCCTGCCCATTCCTCGCCTCCCCAAGCCTTTCAGGTTCTCCTGGCCTGGAGCGGGACCCCCTCCTCCATGTACAGGCTTGGGGGATGACTGGGAATCAGCCGGCACCCCCGCCCCCGAGTCATGACCAGAGCAAGTCTCTCCACTTCTAGGAAGTTCTCCCTCTGTCTTGCCCCTACATCTCACATCACGTGCCGCCCACCAGACACACAGGACTGTCTGGGTCACTCACTGCTTCCCAGGTGGCTGTTCTCTTACCTGCACTTGACATAGTTCCCAGGAGCCCTTAACCCCAGGTCTAGGGGCTGTCCTGCCCTTGGACCCGGGCTTACAGAGGCGGGCAAAGAATTCTCCCAGCATGCCAGCCCCGATCCCATCCTGCCTTGAAGGGCTGAATCCCACAGGGCGGCCCCAGGGTGGCCTTACACGGAATGATCTGGATGACTCTGGCCTTCTTCATGTTGGCCGGCAGGTTGCCCGTCCTCATGTTCTCCTTCATGATCCGGACATTTGTCAGTTTCTGCAGTCAATGAGGACACAATCACGCGATTCCAACACCGACTCCCCCGAGCGACTCCCTCAACCCTGTAACAGCACCCCCATCCAGGGCACCTGCTTAACAGCAACAAATATCTGTCTCCAACCACAGACGCTTCCTGAATCTCGGGAAATAAGAACGTACGCATGACACTCCCCGCCCCCACGGCTTCCTGCTCAGCTCTGAAAGCCCGCAAGTATTCTTCCCTCTAAATCACGGGCAGGAGAGCTACCCTGCATTTTCTGGGCTCAGTCAAGAGGGGAGGTGATTGAAAGTGGGTTCCTTTGACTGGCGGCCCGTCTTCACACATACCCTGAACTCCTCCTCCAGCCCGATCTTGTCGAAGTGGTTGGCGGTGCCGTGCAGCGTCTGCAGGTGCTTTTCCAGGGAGGACACATCCAGCTCGGTGTCCCCGTAGAGGTAGTACTCCAGTAAGGCTTGGTAAATGAACGTGTACTGCATCTGCGGGAAGACCCAGGGTGCCCGCGCCCTCGCTCAGAGCTCAGCAGCTCCCAAGGGGCCTTTCTCTTCTCCACGTTTTGCCAGGGGAAGGAGGTTTGAGGGCAGATTCGTGGCCATCGATAACGACCACTTATGGCCTTGAGGAAGGATCTTATGGGAGCTGGGCTGGCATTACTGAGCACGTTCTCCCTGCCAGGCGCCCCTACGCATGCACCATCTGGGGGACGGGCCCGCAACCCCGGGTGGCAGAGGTGTCTGGGTTTGCTCTGTGCAGCTCACGCCAGGGCAAGGGCGGGGCCAGGGGCAGGCTGCTCACATCTGTCTGAACCATCTGGGGACGCTGGTTGCGTATCCGAGACACGAAGTCAAAGACGTCGACCTTGTGCTCGGCGTGCATCATGTCCATCATGGCGTCGATCACTATGAAGGTGCCTGTCCGGCCCACGCCGGCGCTGCAGGGGAGAAGAAAGGGGCCGAAGCGTGAGCCACAGTACCCGCCCCCACCCGCCGAAGCTGACCTGTGCACCCGGACGGGAGGACACGCCACCCTCTAGTAGAGTGGGAGACATCCCATGGCTTAAGCGAGTCTTTCCTCCATCAATGAAGAGCAAATCTATGGGGAGGCCAGCAGAGGGCACCACGATCTTAGTAAAACTATCTCAAATCGGTCTCTAATAACTACAGAACTGTTGAAAGGCGTATCAAAAAATCTGTTGCAGTAACCTCATATGAGGTTGTGTGAGTGTCTTCTGTACCAAACGCTGTCTTCTTCTTGTGTGTGTATGTGGAGTTTTTTTAAACGTCACCCTGGAAATGGCTTTTGCAAGTTCTTTATAAAACAGGAGGCTCCCAGACTATGTCTGTTGGCTCTTGAGACAAGGTCAGCCCTAACAGAGGGCACTGACTCTCTCTCTGGCGTCCTCGCCCTCATCCCGCGGCTGGCTGAAGCCAGCTGGCCCCTGGGGTCACGGCTGGGCGGTCTTCTCCCCAGGAAGCTGTCCCCCTGGGTTCCTGGGTTTGGGTTTCCTTCCGTCCCAGGAGCCCAATGGATTCGGTCCCGCCCTCCCCCCACTGTGGTCCTAGGGAGCTCTCCGCCAGACAGTGGGGCCGTCTGTGTGTGCTCCCCGGCACCCGGGGCTCCGTAGCCCCTGCGCTCAGCCAACATTTGCTGAAGGGGGACCCCCTGCTGACCCAGACTCATCCGTGCAGCAGGAAGGGCTGTTCCTCCAGCCCCTGCATCATTACCCTCTTTAAAAAAAGAAAAGAAGGAAAGAAAGTAATCTCTGTAACGAAAAGGCTCAGGACTGAATGACTGAGATCCCCCACTTCCCCTTTGGGGGGGGGATGGGAGATACGGCTCTCTCCAGTTAGTCTCCAAAAAGGGGCAATGACAGCAGTGAAGACCCCTCCCTCTGGGCAGATCCCCTCATCTCAGCGGGGAAGACAGGTGAACCAGGAGAGAGAGGTCCTCTGGGGAGTTTTAGTTCTTTATCAGATGCAAAGTCAGAGAAAATCCTCAGGCGCATAGCCAGGCGACACACTCCACTCAACAGGTGTGTGAAGGTGGCCACAAAATAACTCATTGCAAGACTGTGAGGGTCCCTGAGCTGCTTACAGGACGACCCCCCCGCACCTAGCCCGGGGTGCACGTGGGAGAAGCCACTCGGTCCCCCATGGAAAGGCTGAGGCCAGGAGATCCATCCTGCCCACCTCAGTGGGGACGCTGCTTTCAGGGCGACTCAGGCAGAGAACGTCCTAGTAAGTGATTACGAATCAAACGTTGAGGATGAGTGTGTCAGCAAGGATGGAAATCAGGAAGTCAGAGCCCCGCAGCCGAGCCAGGCCTGGAGCTGATGAAGATGAACTTGGAGGTGGAGAGGTGAAGTCAAGTCCACCCTGAGTCTCGGAGCTGACAGCCAGTGGGAGCCTTCTCCCTGAGCCTGCTGGCTTCCGGCACGCCTGCCCTCCCGGCGGGAAGTCCTGACACCGCGTCACCGCAAACAGGCAGGCGCCCAGAACCGCCCATGTGCCCGCAGCGGCCAGGGCGTCTCTCAGGGGGCCTCGGCTCTGGAGGGGAAGGAGTCCTTCCACCAGAGAGGAGGGGGGCTTTGGGAAGCCCGAGTCAGAGGGCACCACTCCTTCTATTTGCAGCAGTGCTCAATGGCAAAGGCAGAGACTCCTGTTCACGGAGGGGCCCAGTGTGAAAATAAGATAAATGGCAGACGCACCTGCCCTGGGTCCCTGTGGTTAAGGGGGGAGGGAGCAGAGGGAGGAGAGTCATTCACCGACACATCCGGAGGGATGGGGACTGAGCCTGCTCCCTGCGGCTGCCCCCGACCCAAACACAGAGGCTGTCTCTCTATCTCCCGCCACCCAGGGCGGAGCGGGGCAGCCACCACAGGGAGCGCGAGGAAGGGACCCGGCAGCGGCTGGAGTGGTCATGTCGGGCCAACGGGAACTGAATGTGAAGACCCCTGCCACCGCTTTTCCAGCTGAGGGCGTCGGACTCGGAGCCCTGGGGACAGGCACCCAGGGAAGCCCCCCTGTCCCTGCCACAGCAGGGCCCCGGATCTCTGATGGGACTCGGGTCCCTCCAGCCAGGCTAGCGCCTGCCTCATGGAGGGAGAGCCCTGCTCACTGGTGTCAGCTGGAATACGCTTGTTTGCAGCTGCTGCAGACAGGTTCTGTCCGAGTATCGGACAGGGGACAGAGGGGGCAAGGGACAGCAGGCACCTGCACACGGTGATACAGATTCTCGGAACCGGCCACACAGGCAGGCGTTCAGCAGAAGCAGCGGACGGGACCCCCTCTGGGGCCGCGCAGGAGGCCCCGCCCCTCCTCCGCTCCAGAGCACCTGCTGGGGGAGCTGGGGGGCCGCGGGTGGAAGCCCAAGGACGCCACCGCACTGAACGCGCTGATGCTCCAACGTCCTTCAGCTCCCGAGGGGCAGGTCCAGGTGTCCGTCCCTGGCCCGGATGACAGGGGCCTCCCCACTGACCCCCGAACTGTCTTCAGGTTCTAACTGAGCACCCACAGGGAGGATGGGGAGTTGGGCACGGAGCACGCCTCACCACTGTGCCTTTGTCTTCAAAAGCAGAAGGGGCACAAGCCAGTCAAGCCACCCAAGGTGGGAGGCCTTTTCTCGTACAGGATTCTGCACCAGCAGCCGCACTGGGCAGGTGTAAGCCCCAGAGGGGGTAGCTTGTGCCCTGCCCCCGTGGCTCCCAGAGTCCCGGAGGAGGTGAAGGCGCAGCGTGAACACAACCGCAGGGCACGGAGGGGTGCAAAGGCAGGGGGCACATGTTCCGGACAAAGGGATGGCTTTCCCACAACCCGAGGAATAGTCACGGCGGTGACGGCTTTCGAGGGTGCTGTCCTTGGTGCTGTGCAAAGCCCCTCAGAGGTGAGTCCCAGGCCCCTCCAGGACTGCCCCTCCCTCTGCGGACCATGGGGGGGGGTGGGGGAGGGGGATGCCCTGTCCTGGACAGTTGCTCTGGGCCACTAGTGGCTATGCCTGGGCCACAGCCCCCAACCCCTCTGAGCCTCGTGCACTCGTGGAGAAAGACTTTGGGGGGCCTCTCCACAGAAGCATGGTCTCCCTTCCTGTCCCCAAGGGGGACCTGGGGGTGTGCGGGTGCTGGAGGGCAGGCCGAGTGAACCTGCACAGAGCCCCACTAGCACCATCAGCCTGGCCTCTCGGCTTCTGTCTGTTTTAGGAATTGGGGAGCCCCCTCAGACGCTGTTGACGAAGGGGTCCTGCTGGCACGGAGTGGGCTGAACGTCCCTCCGGCTCTCACCCCGAGGGGTCTCCGAGCTGTCACTGGTCACTGTGTTCACAGAGGGCAGGGAGTGTTTTCACTTCGCCCCTATGTGCCCTTCTGCCCCCTCGGTACCGGCCCAGCCACGAGGGCGAGTCCTCGGGGTCCCCGGGGCCCACCATACCTGCAGTGGACCACTATGGGCCCGGCATGGGTGGGGTTGAGGGCCTTCACTTTCTTCAGGAACTTCAGCATCCCGATGGGGGTGAAAGGCACTCCAAAGTCGGGCCAGCTGGTGAAGTGCAGCTGGGAGACGAGCCGGGGGGCTTTGCAGCCATCGGGGAGCTGCTGTGGGGAAGGGGATGCATGAGAAGGGGCCGGCACCTGCCCCTCCCCCAACACCACGTCCTGGGGATGCTCACTACCCCCACCCCCGCCATCCAGGCCCCGGGCAGCCGTGGGTCCACCGGCGGCACCGTGGCCGCGTGCAGGGCCAGCACAGTGGGACCCGGGCACCCACACGGCTCCCGGAAGCCGCCTGGAGCTCAGGGGCCCCACCATGAGCGGGGTGGCCATGTCCCGGTCTGCCTGCGTAAGTACCAGCAGCACACGCTTTGCTCCCCGGAGGCTCAAGACTGAGGGAAAAGATGATGTGGCTCGACTACAGGAGACGCCACCCCACCAGCCCTGCTCAACGCCGCCCAGCTCTCCTCCTCCACCCAAGGCCCTGGGTGCAGTTTTCTGCCCTGAACACGGAAGGCTGGGTAGTGTATGTCGAAGTGGGTAAGTGTTGAGTATGAGTGCGTGAGCCTGCGTGTGTGTGTGTGTGTGTGTGAGTGAGCATGTCCAGGAGGGGCGTGAGCAGGGGAGAGTACAAACCATCCGGCTCATCGTCTTCCCCTCTTTGCTGTGGCTTCTAGGAAGCTCAGAGTCATCTTCTGCCATCTAACTACGCCAGTCCCTCCGCCTTTCATTCCTGACAGCATGACCTACCGGTTTTCCTATTTGTGTGTGTGTGTATATGTATACACACCTCCTCAATCTCTATTCCATCTGCTTTGTGCACAGGTATCTGTGCCTTACATTTTTCTAGGCAGGGACAGGGTGAACACAAGTAGGAAATAAATATGAAAAAAGCTTAGCAGGTGAAATATAAACTCTTGAGACTGTGAAAAAAACTCACTTTGTCACTTGAGTGTGTGAAATGACATCATGCTACTGAGTGAGGACCCTCAAGCCCCGTGCCCCCACCCAAGTGACTGGCCTTCCTCCACCCAGAAGAGTGGCTGGGGCCAGGAGCATCGAGCACTCTCTGAAGAGTCTGGTGCACAGTCTCCTCCCTGTAGAACCGCCCTCCGTCCACTAAGCCCGAACCCATCCCCGCCCCCACACTTCCTCCTGACTCAGCCCCCCCTCAGCCGCAGCTGCTCCCACACGGGAGGGGGTGCGGTGATGGGGGCGAAGCTCTTGTTGCTAAAATAAAACCTAGACGTGTATTTACTCTCGACCCTGCTCTCTTGAAGGACCCAGAATGCTTACCGACTGTATGCAGAACTTCCGGATGGTGTAGTCTACCAGAACCACACAGTCTTCCACGCACACGCGGATGTTTCCGTAGGTCCAGCACCCCTGGTCCGGCCAGTACTGGTGGCACTTCTCCTACGTGGGGCAGTTGGAGAGAAATAAATGGCTCTGGGCGCCAGTGGCTCAGTCGGCTGAGTGTCTGACTCTTGGTTTCGGCTCAGGGCACGTCAGGCTTTGTGGAATCGAGCTCCTCTGTGCTGACAGCGAAGAGCCTGCTTGGGACTCTCTCTGTCCCTCCCCTGCTCATGCACATGCGTGCTCTCCCTCTCTCAAAATAAATAAACTTTAGAAAACAATAAATAAATAAAATAAATAGGCACCGCAGCGCCCTCACCCCCCACCCTCCATCAACACAGGGCCTCCCACACACCAGATTCCTCAGTTTCCCGGGGCTGGGAAAGAGCGCTGGGAAATGGAGAAGCGGGGAGACTGAGGCCACACAAGTGGTGGAGGGCACAGCCCTGAGCCTACACCCGGGCCCCTATCTGATTTCGCCACCAGCAGAGGCTGGTGCTGGCCCGGGAGCGGTGAGTCCCCCCGAGACTTCCCCCTGGACTCAGCAGGGTGTTCTTTCCTGCTTGGCTCCCTGAGGACGAAGATGGCCAGCCTGCTGCGGAAGGGGGTCGGCGTGGCGCTCCCCACTTCCTCCACCCGGGACGAGGCAGATGCGGGGAACTGCAGAGCGTGGGCATCCTGCTGCGCAGAGCCCCATCTCTTCACCTTCCCTCCCTCGGAGCTACTCGGCTCCTGGGGTGGGGGTGCACACGCGGCCTAGTGGGCGATAGTCTTCCACAAACATGGGGCGCAGGAATGTGTGACGACGCACCTACGGGGTCGAGATGTGCTCAACACACCACAGAAGTCTCTGGTAGTCAACAAGCCTTCTAAACACCGGGCAGTCGGGGTGCCTGGGGGCTCCGGTAAGCATCCGACTTTGACCCAGGTCATGATCTCACGGTTCGTGGGTTCAAGCCCCGCGTCGGGCTCTGTGCTGACAGCGAGGAGCCTGGAGCCTGCTACAGATTCTGTATTTCCCTCTCTCCTGACCCTTCCCCCCCTTTCTCAAAAATACATAAACGTAAAAAAATTAAAAATAAACATCGGACGGTTTATTCTGGAAGTCGCCCACGAGCGGCACAGCTGATAAGTCACGAGCACTAACAGTCTTCTGAGAAAAGGCAGCTCGGCGCTCACCAGAGCCCAGCAGTCGCATGTTGCGCCAGAGGACAACCTCGCCTCCCTGCCCGGGGCGTCTCGGATGCACCTTGAGGAGAAGCAAGTACCCAAAGGTGCCAGTGTGGGCCAGTCCTGGCTTCCTGGGGACCCTCTATGGCCTCCTGAGATGCTCCCCTTGGAAGGCGCGGGTTCTGCGGCCCCCACAGGGCTGTGCGCATGGCCGCTTCCCCACCCGCTGCCCTCTGGTCTCACCCACGGCCCGCGGTCCCCTCCCTCTGGTCAGATCACAAGATGTCACAGCAACTGCATTTCACAACGTTTAGCCAGGATGTGGAAGCCAGGGAGACAACGAGAGAAGGGTAAGCAATTAAGAAAAGGGAACTCTACTGAGAAATGATCTCATCCGAAATGGTGAAAATCGAGATACAGAGGCGACCGGCTCTGAGTCACAGAAATGGAAAAATCCAGTAGGAGGCTTCAGAGACAGATCAGAGAGAAAACGTCCAGTAACAGGGCAACATGCGGGCCTGCGGGTGGGCGGGGGGAGGAGACTTCTCTGAGTCTCCCTGGGTCGCATGTTTGTAAACAAGCCCCTCCCCCACCCCCGTGGGTCCCAGGGCACCCAGGGCTCCCTGTGAAGCGTCCCCCTGGTGGTTGGGCGCCGGGTCCTGCTGAGAGCGTGGGAGGGGCTCAGCCTTCCTTCCCCGACCCCGTCTCCTGCACAGGCCAGGATTCGCACCCTGAGAAGGGTGACCCTCTCCAGCCCTGTCCCAACCGCCCTGGAAACCCAAAAAAACGCCATCCCACCCAACCGGAAACAGTCACTGGAGGCTCTTTCCTGTGCCTTTCGGAAGGCATAAAGCACAGCAGTGAGGGTGGCGCTGGGGGAGGGGAGGGGTCGGCCTGCGGCCTCTGGCGCTACCTCCATCCTGGAGGGCGGCCCTCCCCCTCCCCTGAGCCCAGCTGCCGGGGCCTGGCCAGCGGGTCCCCTGCCACAGGGAGAGCAGCCCAGGCAGGGACCAGGCGGCCGGCCGTCTCCCACCGTGCAGAGCCTTCCTCTCCCCCGCCAGCCACCACCTTGCTCTGGGTCTCACTCTGGAACATGCTAGAACAGTGTCCCGCTGTCTGGCGAGTCTCCTTCTAGCCTGCAACCCCTTCCCGCTGGGGAGGAGCTCACGTCTGAAAACGCTGCTTTCTGCGGAGACCCTCCGCGGGCCGCCTGTCCCCCGAGCCCGCAGCCCAGTTCGCTGACCCGTCGCTCGCGGTTCTGGGGGGGCCCTGGGTGCTGGCGCCAGAGTGCTCCTGCCCCCACGATCACAGCAGCCTGCGCGGGGGCCTCTCTCCGGCCCGATTCGGTCACGTTCCCTCCAGCCTTTCAGATTCGGTGCTGCCCCTGCCGCACGCCCACGGGGCGCTGCTCCTCCTTCTGGGGTCGCCTCCCCCTCCCTCCTGCTCTAGAAACCACCCTTGCTCTGCTTAGGCCGCAGGGGTCTGTGCCCGTAGGGAAGAAGGGAAAGGCTGGAAGGCACCCATGCCCCACCCCACCCAGTGCCCCACCCCCACCTAGTGCCCCCCTAGCCGTGCACACCCCACCCCCACCCAGTGCCCCACCCCACCCAGTGCCCCCCCAGCCCTGCACACCCCACCCCCACCCAGTGCCCCACCCCCACCCAGTCCCCAGCCCCTGCATGGCCCCCACCCCACCCAGTCCCCAGCCTCAGGCCCAGGCCCCTAAGTACTTGTCTGCCTTGCTCTCCTCCCCTTCCCTGCCCCCCAGGGGCCCTTCACTCTGTCATTTTTTATGTGTCCTCCTGACACCTCCCGACACAGTGTCTGTTTACTTGCCTTCTGTTCCCGGTGGCACCTGAACCCCAGGAGGCAGGGTTTGTGTGCTGCCCCGGGGCACGCCCCCCTGCGCCCTCCGCCCCCCACAGCGCAGGCCAGAGGAGGGTCTGTCCCCTTTAGGACCTGAACCCGCTTGACCTTCTTTATAGAGGCTTCAAGTTCTCATGTCCTCGCATCACGTTTTAAATTAGAAACAGCTAATTAAAGGGGCGCCTGGGAGGCTCAGTCGGTTAAGCGTTGGACTTCAACTCAGGTCATGATCTCACAGTCTGTGAGTTCGAGCCCCGTGTTGGGCTCTGTGCTGACAGCTCAGAGCCTGGAGCTGCTTCAGATTCTGTCTCCCTCTCGCTCTGCCCCTCCCCCCCGCCCCGCTCACTCTGCCTCTCTCTCTCAAAAATAAACGTTAAAAAATTTAAAATAAAAAGAAATAGCTAATTAAATACACAGGGATGACAACTTGGCATTCCTTCAATACCTTGTGTTCCAAATACAGTCTCTTGTGTGGATGATAAGCAGGAAATCCGTGTTTATTTACAGTCCGGGGCCCACAGTAGAATATGCCCGGCACCTAAGTCTCTGGGTGCTGAGGTCCACACTCCGGGGCACGGGGTGGGGGCAGCCGGGCCGGGGGAGGGGGGCTCTCGGCTGAAGAAAGAGCTAACTCTGTGACATGTGTGTGTCACCGCGCAGAGCAGTGAGATGCCTGGAACACAGACTATTTATTTCGTGAGCCCCTGGGGCTTTTTCTTCTTCTTTGCAGCGATAAGGGAGAGGGATAGGAAAAGGATGTGGTGAGCAAGCCCCCAGCGAAGCCCCAGAAGCTTAGAGTAGAGCCTGAGAGTCAGTAAGTAGGCTGGCTCACCTCCTTCCTTTCTTTCAGGTTCGTCAACATGACAATAGTGGCAGACTTCTGCTCCCAGACCATCCTCCAGAAGTCATTCACTGTTTCCTGCTTGGGGCCTGCAGGCAGAGGAGGATCCCAAAGTCAGACCTGAAGAGGGTCTGGGTGGCCCCCGTCACTCTGGCCTCAGAGCCCTGGGACTGCTCCTCCTCCGAGGCACAAAAGGGCTGACTGGCCCACCCACCCGGAGGGGTGCGGCCTCCCTGCCAGCCCCCACTGCCCACACCCCTGGACAACCCCCCCCCACCGGATCCCGGGGCCGGGATGTCCTGGGGCAGGTACACAGCAGCTTCCCGGGGGTGACCCCATTCACAGGCAATCAAGGGGATTCAGATGAGGTTTGGATCTGGAGAATGGGGTGCAGGGTGCAGCCGCTCAGGGGGCCCCTCAAGCAAGGCCTTAGCATACCAGCGCCCCCTCCGGAATTGCGCAAGGGTCTGTGTGTGTGAGACAGACAGACGCAGACAGAGACACAGATGGGCTGCAGGCTGACCGGCTCAGCCTCCACATCTAACCCCCTTCCCTCATCTCTCAGCTGCCCTCGCAGCTGGCGATGATTCAGTGCCATCCAGTGGGATGTGGGCTAACGTTCCCGGGGAGCGGTCTGAACCAAAGATAAAGGGTCCCCAGAAGAAAGTCCTCTGCCCTTTGCCCTCCTTCCTGCCTGAATATAGACACAATGCCTGGAGATGCAGCAGCCATTTTGTGACCCTGAGGAAGACAGTGACATGCCTCAGCCCCCGGCTGCCTCCCCTTCTTACAGGAGAGACACCGTCTGTTTGTGTCGGCTCGTGTCTGTCAGGTTCTCTGACACTGTACTCTGGGTACATGTGTCTGTGTTTACCTATTTCTTAGGGACGTACATTTTAAAAATGTACGTTTAAAAAAAGTGATTCTGATGTTACACTGACTTTGGGGACCTGCTATCCGAAAGACCCTTGCCTGCGAGGGCAGAAGCCCAGGAAAGCCGGGGGTGGCTCCACGTCCCCAGCCCCAGCGGTACCAGCACAGCACACGGGGCCGCCACCTCTGGCCGGCCGGACGGGTGTCACACTGGAAGTGCTGCCCGTGCAAGGCGGCTTGTGTGCAAGGTGAAGGGTGCGCCTCCACAGCCAACGTGCCCCGGGGGGTGGGGGTGGGGCCCTGATCTGATAAGAGACTCCCCCTCCCCACCCGCCGAGCCCAGCTGAGGTTCAGGGCTGGATAACCACTGACCTTCCCGGTGCCCTGTCTTTGAACCGTGCAGGTGCGGAAACTGGCTCGTGTCTGTGTGTCTGTCTGCACGTCTGCTTTGCGTGGATGTGCATCTAACACGCCGGCTACACCTACTCTTAGAAATGACGACAACCCCCCCCCCACTGGCGGCCCAACCGCGGAGGGGGACCTAGGCTCTCAGGGGCTCCAACCCGTCCGTTCTTCTGAAGCTCTGCGTGTACACGAGCTTCATCGTCTGGCGTAGAGCTTTGCAAACGAATGCACAGAATGACCCGAGAAGGCTTCTGCTGAGAGGCGGAGGTGAACACGGCGTTTCCCAGCAGCTCTCAGGACACGCGGACACTCGGGGTCAGCGGAACGCCAGCCTCGGATCGCGAGGCTCTGCGAGATGCGGGACGCCCCTGCGTGGCCCGTGCCGGGGGACAGCGTGGACAGACAGCAATCAGGCTACACAGTCGCAGCAAGACAGACATACAAGAAGCCCAGATGAAGCCCCGGGGCTCGGTGTCACATAAGGACGAGGCGGCAGCCACATCAGTTTACCAAAATCCTGCTCTGAAAGTGACAGTAAAACGCTTACCTTGAGCTGCTATGAACTTATTCTTCTCTTTGTAACCCTAGAAAAGCAAAATCGGATTTGTAATTCTTCGTAACGTTCTTTGCTGAAGGATTTTGTTGTAGTTTGGGCAGTAACACATATTGATCACGGGACACGTGGAAAACACAGAAATAAGGAAACCCACTAGTCATTTCAGAACTAGCGCTACTTTTCGTTCATTCTGCTGTAGACTTTTCCTGTGAATGCTTTCCCAGGCACTCACATACACAGGCACACATTTAGTTACTTTTAACTGGTTAACAGGTACAAATTCTCCTACGTTGTGTTTTTATGATAATTTTATAATTTATATTGAAAGTTCAATTAAAGTGAATTCTTAAATTTTTTTAATTTTATATATTTTTGAGAGAGAGACAGACAGAGACAGAGAGTGGGCAGGGGACGGGCAGAGAGAAGAGGGTGACACAATCTGAAGCAGCTCCAGGCTCCGAGCTGTCAGCACGGAGCCCGACGCGGGGCTCGAACCCACGAACCGTGAGATCATAACCTGAGCCAAGGTCGGAGGCTTAACCCGCTGAGCTCTGCAGGCGCCCCAGTTAAAGTGAATTCTTACTCCGTTGCATATGGTTTCACCATAGTTTGTTCAACGGATTCCTCTTGTTCTATTTGGTCAGTGATATAAAGAATGTTGTAACAAACATCTGTCGTGCTTATCTGTTTCCTGACATTGAAACCCCAGACAGATGCTAATTCAAAAGGCCTGGGTGACTGTGCTCTCTGCGCTGTGGCCAAACTGCCCAGGAAGGTTGTGAATATTTACATTCCTGGCCCCAGAGAGGAAAGTCACGCTTCTCACTCAGTCCCCAAATGATGCAGGTGTGTGCATCAGCCTGGGCCGGGGGCAGGACAGCGGCTGACTCACATCTATGTAGGAGGCATTAATGTAGTCTGAACACGGGGCTCCATCCACTTGGCTCAGAATCACCCTGGAATGATCATCTGTTTAAAAGAAAAAAGGAAACACGATATCAGGATAAGGAAATCGTGGGTGCCATACGTTTCTTCCATCTACAGCGTTAAACACCGCACAGGACACGAGCGGGTCTTAGGGGTGATCACGGGGACAGAGGAGGCGTCCTTTTTAAAGTCTCCCCTGAGACCCTTTGTGTCATGAGGGTGGGAACACACCTGTTTCATTGAACACGGAGTCTCGGCACTGAGGACAGTGCCCCGCCCTGACCCGGGGCCCGTAAAACCCGCGGATGAGAGCAGAGGGACGCGTGCCCAGGAGCGTAGGCTGCTGGGTCTCCCATAGAGACAGAACAGCGGCGCGTGCTGGGACCCCGCAGTGAGATCGCCATAGTCCCCGAAACCCCAGCTGGGCCCCTACATTAAGTGTTTCCGCGCCGAGGAGAACCCCAGACAGAAGGGCTGGGGTCCACCCTCCCGGGCTTCCCGGGGAAAGGACCAGCCGACTCCACACCCCCATCCCCACCCTTTGAGTTGGCCCTAGGGCTGGAGGGTGGGCGGAACTCACGCAGACCCCGGCGGGCCTGGTGGGCCACCTGCCTGGAAGATTCCGGCCTGTCGAACAAGCACTTGCCCAGCGGGAGGGCTGACCACAGAGGGCTCTGTGTGGCTGCGTGATGGGTGTTTTCCCCGTGTGTGGGTATGTGAGGGCGTTCATGTGTGTGTGTGGTAGGTGGAGGTGTGGTGTGTGTGTTAAGTGTGTTTTCTCTGTACGCCTGGGTCTGATGTGTATGTGTTTGTGGGCCATGTGTGTGTGTATACAGACACACATTTCCGGAAATTTCTTCCAGAGCCCCCATTGGGACTTTGGTGGGTCCTTGTCACTCCTGCCTTCATGGGCCCCTTCTCCATAAAAAAATAGACAAATAAACAAATGTTTTGTTTTACAACTGTGTCACTTGTTAGTATAAAGCTTAATGTAAACCAGACCGGATTACGTGTATTTTTTTTTTTTTTCTGGTTTAAAAGGAAATTAGATGGTTTCACGGGCCCTTCACGGTGTCGCAGCCCCGGGCCCGGGTTCCCCGAGCTGCTGTGCTGCGGCTTCTAGCTGCACGGCAGCTTCTCGCAGGACTACAACCCTGAGGACACCCAGACTCGGCCCGGGGCCGGGGTCAAGGGTCAGAGCCGCTCCCGGGTCATTCACCCTGCACGCCTCACGGGCTTGGTATTCAGTGAGCACTCCGTATGTCTTTACTGCATTATCTGCATTGTCCTGTTGACCCCTGCTCGTCCCGAGAGAGGGACACTAACTGAGAAGGGCGTGTTTGCGGGCGGGTCTGCCACAAGGTGTCTGGACCGTCGCTGTCGTCTTCCGCATTCCCGGAAGGCACCGCTGGCCTCAGACACCTGCTGGCTGGGCACCGGCTCGCTGGCTGGGCCAGATCTGCCCTGCCCCCCGGCAGCACGGCCACTGGGGCTTTCAGGGAAAGTCATGGCCAGAAGGGGCAGCCAGGATGTCAGCCCCCAAACGTACAGTCTCTGTGAGACCGTCCTTCTCAGGGGCTGACAGCCCTAAAGCAGATACGGCTCCCGCTGGACATGCGTGAAGCCGGTTGAAAATAATTGGGAAGCATTTCCGCTTTGAGAACAGCTATAGAAAGCAGAGGGTAAAAAATAGCCTTCTGGTTAGATTTAGAATCTTGCAGTGTCTAAGAGCTTCCTGTCTTTTTATTCTGAAAGTCACACTTCACTTTCAAAACACTATTTCCTGAAATTATCGGCTGTTGCTGTTTTTCTCCCAGATAAGAGGGTGCTGTCTACCCCCCGGCCGCCAAGCTTTTCCAAAGCCCTGCCTCACAGACACACCAGGCATCTTGATCTCTGTCTTCTAAGCTCCCTAGAGCCACTTCCATGACTCGGCTCCTGGGCCGAGGGGCCTCTTACAAATCTGGTAAATTCAGGGGCATCTGAGCGGCTCAGTCAATTAAGTGTCAGATCGAACCCCACATCGGGCTCCACGCTGACAATGCATGGACCCTGCTTCTAATTCTCTCTCTCTCTCTCTCTGTCCCTCCCTCCCTCTCTCTCTCCCCTTCCCCAGCTCTCTCTCTTTCAAAATAAGTAAACTTAAAAAAACACAAAGCAATAAATCTGGTAAATTTACAGCCAAAATCAGCTTGGGGGAGGGATGGGGAGAGGCCTGGATGGTGCCCAGGGCTGTGGGAGTCAGGTCTCAGCCCCTCGCACCCCCCGCTGACCCTAACCCTGCCCTGAGCAAGAATGGAGTCTCTCATCCCGGGCAGGGTGTGGGACAGACCTGAGATGCCCATCTCATGCAACATCTAGCGAATCAGCCCGTTCCTGTCCTGGATGCCTAGCCGGCCCTGGGGTCATCTCAGGCCAACCCCTCAATTTACTCAGACCCCTTTCTTTCAGCTTGTGTCTTACTGGTGCCAGATGCTACCCAGATGGTGGCCTGTAGGCCACTCCCAGGGTACATCCCAAGTGTCCCCAAGTGTCCCCATGCTGCCTTCCACAGACCCCAGGGTCCAATCAACGTGAAATACCTCTCATCTGGGCGGAGTGACCGCCAGCACCCTCAATTTCCTCTGGCTCAGTGCTCCTGGGCAGAGCAGGGCTGGCGCCAGACCCTCAGCCAGGGACGGGGGAAGGGGGGACAGAATTTTCACACATTTATACTTGTAGGAAAGACCAACTTCCCTCCAAAGCACAAGCTGGAGAACACGGGCTGGAGAAAACGTGCAGGGGGAGGCGCTGCTATTCCAGGTTAGGGACCCTCAGGAGGTGGTGCCCCACCCTGGACCATCACATCTGCCATCAGGGGGCGAGGTGCAGGTAATTTCCACACCTGGCCATTGATTCTGCTCCCATTGAGGTGTCACCAAATATATATATATATATATATATATATATATATATAGGTTTTATTTATTTTGAGAGAGAGAGAGAAAGCATGAGCAGGGGAAGGCATAGAGAGGGGGAGAGAGAGAATCCCAAGCAGTCTCCCTGCAGTCAGTGAGGAGCCCAACTCGGGGCCCAAACTCACAAACCGTGAGATCATGACCTGAGCCGAAATCAGGAGTCAGACGCCTAACCGACTGAACTACCCAGGCGCCCCAAAATACTCTCAATTATCAGTGTGGATGTCACCTTTAAAAAAAAGGGATTTATGGGGCACCTGGGTGGGTCAGTCGGTTAAGCATCTGACTCTTGATTTCGGCTCAGGTCATGATCTCACTATTTGTGACACTGAGCCCTGCATCAGACTCTAAGCCACCTGCTCGGGATTCTCTCCCTCTCTCTCTGCCCCTCCCCTGCTCACTCATGAGCACACACACTCTCTCTCTCTCTCTCAAAATAAATTAATTAACTTAAAAACATTTTTAACTAAGGGTTTAGTGAGTAAGAGACAAGCGGGGTTCAGGAACCTGGAAAAGTGCTGGCGCTGAATAGGTCCTCAGCATACGCACTCGATAGGTCAACGCATAATTTAAACTAATTAAGGAAACTAATTAGTCTAACTAATAATAGAAAATAAAGGAAGCTATTTCGTCAAATTAATAGTAGAAAATAATACTAATTTCCAAATGGCCCGATTTGACTTGACACAAAATATTCCTAAGACCCCAAACCACCCCCCATGGTTCTCCTTTCCCTTGAGCCGCTCAGACCAAGGCTTGCCTCCCCCCTTCTCTGATAACCCACCCAGGTGCAACAGCAAGTCCTTCCCATCTGATCTCCCCTGTGTGTCCAGAGTCTACCCCTGGTCCGAGCCCCCTCCTCACTGCCCAGCCCCTGCCCGGCGCCTTGCTGCTCCCTCGGCTGCCTACCCAGATACATTCTAGCCAGAAGACTATTTGGTTAATTTCTCACTTTACTTGGATCATAGACTCACGGGAGGCCTTTGAAAAAAAGAGTTGTGCAAATCCTGTGCTTGTGAAGAGCAAAAGAATTGTTTCTATTAAGTGCTGAGAGCGCAGACGCCACATAAATCGGGCGGACCACAGCTTCTCGTGCCTACAAACAGAGGGGCTTCACTCTCATCTTAAAATGCAACCAGGAGCCAGTGCACTGCGCCCACTGCACCCTGGCTGCCTTGCTCCTAGGGAGGCTCTGGCTGAGAACGGGGAGGTCCTCTGGAATGAGGAGGCCTGGGGCTCAGGATCGAAACCCTCCCTGGCTGCCTTTCTGTTAGCCTGATGGGCAAAGCCGACAAGGGGCTCCAGACGAACGAAGAAATCCACAACCCTCCTCGGCCAGCTCTTCCGAAGGCAGCTTGGAACCTCCAGGTCTGTCCTGGTACCGAGGCAGGCTGTGAACGCTGCCTCGTCCAGCCACCTCTGGGGACAGATCTGTCAGCTATCTGGACCCCGCACCCCGCAGCCCATGGCCCCGTTTAGCTGCTGGCGTTTCTAAGCCCTCCCACAAAGCTGTCATTACTGTCCCTGGTCTGGGGGACACACTGAGGGTGGCCAAGAGCACAGGGTCTGAGGGGGGACGAGCCCAGGGCCACCAGCAGCACAAGACTGTGGCTCAGGACGGGGCCCAGGAGCAGGGCTCTGCCAGCCCATGCGGGGGACGCTCCCCTTGGCCCCTAGGCAGCCCCAGTCTCAACATCGATCACAGGCTAGGTGGCCAGACCCAGGACAACAGAGGTGGCCCGAGTCCGCTGTGGGGACGGGGCTCCCTAGACCTCCCTGTACGAGCCCCAAGCAGCGGTGCTGGCCCGGGCCCTCGTCCCCGAGCACCGGGAGTGTCGTGCGGCCTGGACAGGCACGGTTCCCGGGAGCTACAAAGGAATGTCCAGTTTACTCCAAATGCCACCAATCATGCAAAAAAGGTAAAGTCTTACTGGGAAGGATGTTGGGATATCTGTTCTTTTCTCTATTTTCTTCTTTATTGGCCAGTTCAAAAGTTCCTTGTACGTGTCCAGATGGCAACGACTACAAGAAAACACACAGTTAGCGCTAAAAGGGATGAATCCAAACACAGCGTTCACGTCCACTCCCCTGATGCGCACGGGGATTAGGAAACCATTGGAGCAAACTACTTGCAGTCCACCACCCTTTCTGCCCCGCGAGCTGTGCCGGGCACTGGGCAGAGACGTGAGGAAGACGCAGGCGCGCCAGGGTCCTGGCCAGCGGGCCGGGTGAGCCGTGGACATGGCGATGACCTCACAGTTGGGCCCTCGGATGCCTGAAGGCAGGGACTTCAAGTCACCAAACCATTGGGAGCCACAAGTCCTGGCCTAGGGCGGTCACTCCACACATACAGACTGAGCCCGGGGCCCTCTGAGCCAGGACAGGGCAGGGCAAGGGTCCCGGCGCCCCGGGGCTGGACAGGCCCGCCGTGCCCCTGGGGCTGGGCTCAGGGGCGCAGAAGGGTGCGCGAGGACCTCAGATGCGGGGCTCCTGCCTGAGGCGCCGTGTGCTCCTGGGCCAGCGGTTAAGGCCCGGCTGGCCTCGTGTGGGAAGTGCAGACCCCAGCCCCGCCCCGGACCAGCACAAGACCCCCCGGGGCCCTGTGTGCACACCTGGCATCAGAAACCCTGCCCTACTGCCCCCTGCCTCGGATGAGGACAGGAAGGTGAGGCGCCAGCGCCCCGGAACTGACTTGCGGCTCCGCAGACGTGACCCCGGGTGACCCCGGGCTCCCTGACTTCTAGTCCTGCAGCTGCTGGGGCCTCTCCCACTCCTGGTCACCCCCGTCACCCCCCTGCATCCGCTGGCTGCTGGGACGCCTCTGCACGCAGGAGGGCCCCTCGCAGGGCACTGTGCGAAGGAGCCTTTCGAACCCCTGAATCACGTCCTTCAACATGAACCTCAACACGGACTGGACTGGGGAGGGGACACTGGAAGCCGAGAAGCGAGTGTCAGTCTTCACCGGGCAGCCTCGCTGTGCCGGTCCCTGGGGGGGCTGGGCCACCCGCCCCGGCCCACAACTCACCTATTACAAGACGACGCTAGCATCGCCCCTTTGTCTAGACGAGGAGACTGACCCCCAAGGCTGCTGCAGACTCGCCCAGAGTCACCTGGCTTGCAAGCAGCAGGCCCTGCGGGGAGGCCTGCAGTGTGGCCTGGAGCTGACCACGAGGACTGCACTTCCTCAAGTGCGAAGTCCCGGAAGACGGGGGCAGACCTCACAAGTGCTGCCGCGGCCCTAGGCTTATCCACACCATGTATCAGAAGGGCTGGACTCGCCGCCCGCAGGTGCCCAGAGCCTCCCTCTCCTGGGGCGGGGCGGGGCGGGGCGGGGGTGCTTCTTCATCACAGACTAGCCCCTGCCACCCAGTGTCCTCTTTGTTCTGTTTTGGGTTCACTGAACTGGATGGCGACAGGCAGAGCCTGGTGGGGGCCTTGGGACCAGCACCTTCTCTGCCCAAATTCCTGGTTCTTTTTTTTTTTTTTTTTTTAATTTTTAATGTTTATTTTTGAGAGAGAGAGAGAGAGAGAGAGAGAGANTTTTAATGTTTATTTTTGAGAGAGAGAGAGAGAGAGAGAGAGAGAGACAGAGCACGAGCAGGGGAGGGTCAGAGAGAGAGGGAGACACAGAATCCGAAGCAGATTCCAGGTTCTGAACTGTCAGCACAGAGCCCGACACGGGGCTTGAACTCACAAGCTCTGAGATCATGACCTGAGCCGACGTCAGGTGCTCAACCGACGGAGCCACCCAGGCGCCCCTCAAAATTCCTGGTTCTTATCAAAACTGTCTTAACACTGATTTTCTGGACCTGAGCTAAACAGAGAATCTGTGGCAGCATTCTACAGACTTCTCTCTTTCTATCCTCGAAAGCTTTCTTGACCCCATCCCTGAAAATAAAAACGAGGTATGATACTAGTATAAAGGTGGTTTGTCCGAACCCACATAACGTGTCACACCAGCTCCCCAGCTCTGGATGTCGGCCGGTCAGTGACGAGTCAACATTAGTTATCACTTGGGACACATGCAGGGCACGGACAGGAGTCACTGTTGGCCTGGGAAACCTGTGCGGGGACAGGCGAGCTACAGGGGAACCCTATACTCCACGCATAACTTTTCCATAAGCCTAAAAAGACTCTAGACATTCAAGTCTATACAAATGATACATTAAAAAGAAAAAGAGAACCCAAGAAGCCTCTGTCTTCCTGGGAAGGTGGGGTGGCTGTGGTGCTGTGTGTGGGGATGCTGGAGCGCGGAGGTGTGGAGGGCGGACCCAACTGTGCCCCCTCCCCCCCCCCCCCCCCCCCCGTGGCCTGAGACCCGGGTATGAAGCCTGGGATAGCAATACCGGCCTTTTGGGCTGCGTGGAGGGCCACTTGGGGTGAGAGGCCGGGTGCTCTGTGTGTGGGGCGTAGCTCCGTATCCAAGCACACGGCATGACTGCTGCCCATCACTTCCACCCGCTGTCCATCTGCAGACTCGAATCTCTGAGTTGCTCAGGGGAAACGGGGCAGCACCCGGGGCGGGCTCTGCTGGGACCCGGTCACCCCCACAGCGCCCAGCGGGAGCCATGCAGGTAGTGAGGGGTCAATAAATGCCTCGCGATTGATTGTGTGATGACACAAATGGACCGAAGGGGGTTGGCTGGTGTGCGGCTTGCTGGAGGTGGCTGGGGTTTCATCTCAGTGAGCGCACACAGGGGCACCGGGCCATGCCGCTGCCTCTCTCCCCGCTCCGCAGCGCTGGGCAGGTGGTAGTGAATGAGGGGAACAGAGAGCGGCCGGTGGGGACTGTCCCCGCATGCTCCAGGGGCTGGCTCTGGCTCACGCCTCCCCTGCACCTTTCTACAACACACTGGATCCCCGGGCGTGGAATGAGCTGCTGGTCTGAGCCGGGAAGACTCGTCTGAGGTGGGGGAGGGGCGGTCCTGGCCTGAACAGCACTCCCTTGCCGAGGTATTAACTGGGGATCTGGAACAGACTCTGCTGGGGTGGCCCTCTGTCATGGCGGGTCGAGACAGTGCCACTGGGTGTCCCTAGGAGTCATCCTAAAAGCCCCCAGATGCCCGTGGTGCAGGCATGGGGCGAGGCTGGGCACACATCTGCCTCTTTCACAAGTTCGGACAATCCTTCGGGGACGGCAGCATCCTTATCGTGCAGGTGAATAAACTGAAGCAGGTGGAGGTTGAATACATGGCCCACTTGCTCTGGGCTGGTAAGAGGGAGGCCGACTCAGCATTCACGCCTGGACCACACCACTGACCCCAGCGCCAAACTCGTTCAGCTCCCTGAGGCTCTGGGTCGGCAACACACAGATGTCCATGCTCAAGACTCATCCGTCCCTTTCACGGTCTCTGGGTAGGACTCGAACTCAGGATGTGGACAAGGAGGGGGAGGGCGGACAGTCGTCTAACTCCGGGGGGGTCATCGCAGAGCCAAGAGTGCGCCGGTCCTGGAAGGCTCCAGCAGGCTTAGAAGACAGAAGCCACACAAACGGTGGCTTAGGGATTGGCCGGCTCAGGGGCGCCTGGGGGGCTCAGTCGGTTAAGCATCCGACTTCGGCTCAGGTCATGATCTCACAGTTCCTGGGTTCGAGTCCCACGTCAGGCTCTGTGCTGACAGCTCAGAGCCTGGAGCTGCTTCAGATTCTGTGTCTCCCTCTCTCTCTGGCCCTCCCCTGCTCGTGCTTTCTCTCTCTCTCAAAAATAAATAAACATTAAAAAAAAAAAAAAAAAAGACATGACCAGCTCTCACTGACGAGAGCAGCAAACTGGGGTCCAGAGACTACAGTCGACTTGTCCCTGGCCCCCCAGCGCCGGGCCCAGGCCCTCCTCCCCTCTGCGTACCTCTCACTGCACAGAGGCCTCCAGTGGGCAGCTGGGCAGGGGAGGGCGAGAAGAGTGATATACTTTCTTCGGAGGCAAAATCTAAAGTGGTACCCAAAAAACCCAGGAATCAAGGTAAAATAATATCCAAATGAAACATTTAAAAACTTTTTTGGGGGTGCCTGGGTGACTCAGTCAGTTGAGCATCCAACTTTCGCTTGGGTCATGATCTCACGGTTCGTGGGTTCGAGCCCCGCGTCGGGCTCTGTGCTGACAGCTCAGAGCCTGGAGCCTGCTTCGGATTCTGTGTCTCCCTCCCTCTCTGCCCCTCCCCTGTTCGCGCTATGTCTCTTTCTCTCAAAAATAAATAAATGCTTAAAAAAATTTTTTAAAAATTTTAATTCAAATCTAAAGCGTGATGTCGAAAGCACCAAACCTTCAAATAACACCAGAATGGGTGACAGTAGGGTGACAAAAAATGGGTGACAGTGGGGTGACAAAGAATGGGTGACAGTGTGGTGACAAAGAATGGGTGACAGCGGGGTGACAAGTCCTGCTGGAGCCTGGGACCGCAGGAGAGATCAGTCAGAATGATCTTGCCTTTATTTACAATCGTACTATTTCGTTCAGCATGGATTGCTTGCATTAATTTTGATATTTTGGTGGCTCAGTTGGTTAAACAACTGACTTAGGCTCAGGGCGTGATCTCACGGTCCGTGAGTTCGAGCCCCACATCGGGCTCTGTGCTGACAGCGCAGAGCCTGCCTGGGATTCTCTCTCTCTCTCTCTCTCTCTTTTTCTCTTTTCCTTTTCCTCTTTCTTTTTCTCTCTCTCAGAACAAATAAATGAACCTAACACAAGCATTTTTTTTTATATTTTTGGACAATGGAAATACTACCGACCCAGACGGAGGTGCTCACGCCTGGGGCAGGTGCGTCACCGCCTGACCCTATTTCCGGCCCCGCTGCACTGGGGTTGTCCTCACTCTTGAGATGGCAGGCGAGCCAGCTGGCTGTGACTCACAGCCTCCTGCTGGCAAAAGGCCAGCCCACGGCCACGCGGAAAAACACAGCAGAAGGGGAAACGGGACAGGAGAGGAGGGGACCGAGTCACACCCTGCAAACTCGGTGGTTATTTTGGACGCCGAGGATGAACTTCCCTAAGGCTGACAGGCTGCAAACAATACTGCCTGGAGCCGTCTTTCGAGATGACCTAATTTCTCCAAAATAGAAGATGTATTTGGAAACAATGAAAAGGAAGCAAGGGAAAGGGCAGGAGAGGCTGGCGCTGAAAAACGAGCGAAGCGCCGCTGAGATGCCCCGCGCCCGCGGGATGCCTCTGTGGGAAAGGGCCCACGTCTGCTGGGGCGCCGTCCCTGGAGTAAGTAGCTGCACAGCACTGTGCTGTGGGAGACAAGGGAGCCGTGAGGTCCTTGTGACAGTCCCGCCCCCCCCCCCCCCCCCCCCGCGCCCGTCTTAGCGGTGGAGGCCGGCTGCTCAGGGGCGGGCGCATGTGCCAGGGTCCGGGGGCAGCAGGCTGCGCGAGGCGCCGTCGGCTGCATCGCTCCTCTTCGGGGCTCAGCCCTCCGCACGCGGCTGCGCGGGACGTGAGGAAGATGCGCGGAGCAAACCAGGAGGTGCTCAGGGGTCACCACGGAACGGCTAAACCCATGTCTCTTACCTGCCCGCCCGTCCGCGCGCCTCTCTCCCTCTCTCCCCCTCTCGACCTCTCAATGTCGGTCTCTCCAGCAGATTCACAGTCACAGGACACTGACTACAGACTGAGTCACACAGGACGAGGCGTCACGGACGCACCTTCGTGTGGTTTTGTTGGGAGCTGGGAGAATCAGCCTGCCCCCGTGGGGACGGTCATGGCCGGATAAACCCGCGCTAGCCGGCTGCTGCCATTGCCAAGTTCACTGAGGCAATTCACCCAGACAGGCAGTAGCAGGATGCAGACAGGGAGAGGCCGGAGCACACACCAAAGCGAAGCCCGTGGCCCCAGGGCTGTTGCGTTCATGCGACGAGGGGGGATCGGAAGAGGGGCGCTTCCTACACCAACCCGACGCACCAGGTCTCCGGAGCCCGTTAGAAAGCCGGGTGGGGGCTCTACTGCTCTCCACCCCGGTCTGTCACCCGCTTCCTGCTCAGGCCCTGGTCTTCCACATTAGGGAGACAACCGAGTCCCTGTCACACTAGATTTTAGGACACAGCGGTCAGAGGGTTTGCGCTGGAAGGAGCCTTCAGGAACATCTCACTCAACCGTCTCATCTTACGAAAGAGCAATGAAGGGGGTGCAGGGACCTCGCAGGAGAAGCCAGGCGTCCAGAAGCCCCTCTGGGGCAGCATCGTGACCCGTGCGCACATACCCCGTCTTCGGGAAGACCTACCCTCAACTACGGCGCCGCGTTTCCCAGTCCCTGACCCCGGACAGGATGACAAAGGAGCCTCCAAACTCACACTGAACTCCTCCCGAAAGCGCTTGCAGTCGTCGGCCGACCGGACGCGGACCTCCTCCTCCAGCTGCGCCACGGGGATGGGAAAGTACTTCTTGGGCCCCGACGGGGACCTGCTGAGCAGTGTCACTCTTTGCTGCTCTGTGGGACCAGAAGACACATGGGGGCCGCTCAGCCACATTCCCGGACAGCTGACCCCTTCACCCGATGGACGGACCGCATTCCCGGAGGGCACAACTCAGCTCACGCAGCCGTGGCCACGCGGGCCGAGCAGCTGAGCGCGGAGTCCGCCCCTTATAATACAACCACACCAGAGCGCTGTCCCTCTGGCCGGTGTGACCAGCTCCCACCCACCACAGACGCCTTATCTTCCAGCCCAGCCCCCAGCCCCTGCTCCTTCTATCAAGGATTCGGGCACTTTGATGCCCCAACTCAACTTTCCAGGTTCGAAATAGGAAGAACGATTATACGTTCATCAATACGGAGGAGTAACTTTGGTTTCAGCTGGGAACACACCGGGAATTGGTTAGGATGTAGGTGTCCCTCAGTCCTGTCTTGTGACAAATAGCTTGCTCAAACCCCACAAGCCCCAGGAGAAATAAGAGAAACCTTCCCTGGGGCTCCTGGGGGGCTCAGTCAGTTAAGCGTCCGACTTCTGATCAGGTCATGATCTCACAGTTCACGAGTTCGAGCCCCGCATCGGGCTCTGTGCTGACAGTTCAGAGGCTGGAACCTGCTTCACATTCTGTGTCTCCCTCTCTCTCTGCCCCTCTCCTGCTTGCGTTCTCTTTCTCTCTCTCACAAATAAATAAGTGTTAAAAAAAAAAAAAAAGAGAGAGAGAGGAAACCCTCCCTGTTTTGTGGGGGGCAGGGAGGCACTGACATTGAGGATGGGCCGCAGGGGACTCCCTGGACAAATTCCGTCCACAACCCAGGGTGAGCCAAAAGGAGCAATATTTGGCCAGAGCTTCTCTTCCTGCAAAATGACTGACACTCTTGACAACATCAACGTGAACACTTTGCTGTCACTCCCACCAAGGGCCTGTCCCCACCTGCAGAGCCGCCTGAAGCCCAGCCAACAACTCCTCCCAGAGCTCATGCGAAGCGCAGACGCATCAGAGTGAGTCTGGCTGGGCCTCTGGGCTTCGCCAGCCACACCTTCGTCCCTCCCTTTCAGGCTGTTGGAACGTGCCGGCAGCGAGCCGGGGCAGGACGTTGGCACCCGCGGGCCACAGCGGCCCCTCACGAGGTGCTCGGTGATGTTCAGGTCCCACCGGCACCCGGGACTGCCCGCCTGCCCCTCGCTAGGTCCTTTGGGGCTGGCGTTCTTTTTTATCATCTGGGGGTCGAGTTTGCAATTCCGTCTGAAGCCTGACCGCATGTTTGCTCCCCCAAACCGTGGAACTATTAGGTAGCAAGCGGATTACAGGAAGTTACAGTCACTGGTGTGAACCAATCATTCTGAAAGTCCCTGCCTCGCCAGCTTTCTGGGCCACCTGCGCTTGGGGCGAAAAGGAACAAGTGCCTTGTAAGTAAGCAGCACCAAGGCACGGAGCCGAACTTGAGCCTGAAGAAAGGCTGGGAATGCCCTCAGCTGGGCCCATCCCTGCCACACACACGCAGCGCCGGGCCAGCTCCCTTTTTGCATCACGATCCGCAAGCAGCGTGAAGTCCAGGGGAGCCCTTGAGCGCCCGAACCGGGCCGCCTCATCTTCGGATGGTTTTCAAGGGCTTCCTGAAAACCGTGACATGTCACAACGCTGTAAAAAGGACAGGATGTGCACAGTGTTTCCAACAAAGCCACAAACTGAAAGTCTCGAACGTCTGCTCCCAGCAGAGAGAAAGGAGAAAAGTTTCAAGATGGTGAAGCTGTACCACCGTCAACGCTAGCGTCAGCTACACCGGGCAGAGGGGGACAGGAGTCTCAAAGCTCAAGGAGTTTAACATTTCAAATAAGAGGCAGCCAGCAGCCCCCTGCGTGGCCAGAAAGCGAACCCTCCCGGTCCCCCAGCCCCCCGGCCCCCGGCCGGTACCTTGTTCTTCAAGGATTCCGTTGGGCATCTTGTCATTGGCGCTGACCACGGCTTTCCTCTGCTTCCGGAACCTGGGACACACAGACTGGTTAGCTCTGGGCACGGGGCTGACCCCCGGGGCGTGGAGCCCTGGTGCGGGGATACCCACCAGGTGAGCCGGGAGAAGTTCTTCCTGCTGCTCATGGCCGGACCCCGCCACACCGGCCACCGGCCTCCAGCCCCGCGTGTGCCCGGCCCCTGCGGTCCCCGGCCCCGCTGCCCTGCGCCTGGGCCCACGCCCGCAGTGCAGCCTGGAGGAGCTCATTTCCTCATCGGGGCTGGTCGGGGCAAGCCCGCCTGCGCCCGGGGACACTCCTACCTGAAGAAGTAGGCGGCGAGCAGCAGAAGGAGGGTGAGCAGCAGCAGAGGCAGCAGCAGCCAGGCCAGCAGGGGCTGCGGCGTGCGGGGATCCGGAGGGCCTGCGGGTGGCACGGGGGACACGAGGCGAGGACTCAGGCGACGGGGAAACGGGGTCTCGGCACAGAAGGATCCCCCACAGCAGACCACACGTCACAGCTGGCCAGGCGAGGCCACCCCCACCCCACCCCCCACCCCGGTGCCTTGTGCTCACCTGATGAGTCGCTGTGACACAGGGAAGAGAGCGTGAGCCGCGGGGCCGGGGACTTTGGCCGCGGTGGGGGCTAAGGGGCAGTGAGGGCGCAACAGGGAGCCCCCCGCCCTGTCAAGGAACCTGTTTCCCCGGGGTCCTGGGGCACCTGCGTCTCCCCTTCCTGGGGAGGTGGATGGGGAGGTGGAAGGGGGCGGAGGGTGAGAGGCCTTGCTGCTCCCAGGACGGCGTGGGGCACCCCCAGGGCCAGGCAGGAGCTCAGGGCACAGCCTGGCCCCCGGGCTGGGGGGAGGTCTGTGGCCATGATCAGGTCTCCAGAAGCTTCGAGCTCCCGATCCTACAGGCCCAGGCTGACTTTCCTCTTTCAGAAGGCCCCACCTCCCTGGACCAGGAACAGCTGCCTCCGGCTGCCCAGGACCTGCCCAGGGAACCCAGACTCTGAGGGGCTTCGATGGCCTGGCTGCCACCTGGCCCGCGATGTTCTGACTTAGCCCCTGCCTCCGCAGCTGCCCACGCTGCCCTCTCCTCACCAAAATGCATCCACCAGCAAGCATCTCAAACTCCCCCTCCTCCAGGAAGCCCCCTTGGCTGTCCTTCTGAGGATCCCAGGGGGTCTCTGTATGCCTCCAAGCACAGACCCTCCTCTCCTGGAATGGACAGGCCCTGGGGGCGACCGCCTTCACTCTGAGGCAGTGGAAGTTCCTCAAAGGCAACAATGGGCTTCCACAGCCTTGAGCTCACAGCAGGGCCCTGAGCCCAGGGGAGGGCACCGCAGCCCCCTCCCCTGGCACCCCTCCTCGTGTATTCTAAAGGTCTTAACTTGTATCTCACGCCCCCTCCCCCAGGTTGCAAGCAACCTCCACCTCCAGGCCCTTGCGCGACTCTGGCACCCAGTAAGGTCCAAGGCATGTGTTTCTAATAAATGACGATTTTTCCTGACGCGAGGGTCCGTTTGGTTCAGAAGTGCACCGACTGAGAGACAGCTGGTCTGTGATGAGGTGGCCCTGGAGGCCAGAAACCTGGTCCAACAAGGCCCCCTTGCTCCAGGCTAGGCCAAGGCCCTTCCGTCTGCCCAGTGACAGCCCAGGTCAAGTTGTTGGGCAAAGCCGGATGACGTCAGGCTGAGCCTCTCAGAGCGCGTGCCCCAGCCCCCATCCTCTGGCCGTACCCACTGCAGAGCTGCCCTGGGGGGCTGTCCTGGCGGGGCGGGGAAGCTTCCCCACTCGCCCACCCATGGAGGCCCCACCCTGCTCTGCCAAACTCCAGCTGGGAGATGCTGATCCCGAGGGGCCGAGAGGGCCTGGGTGCCCCTCACCCTGACCGCACCCCTGCCCTGCTGCACGCAGCCGCTGAGCATGGGTGGGGCCCTTCTCGCCTCCTCACTTCTGCATTTGCACAGACCTCAGGCTGCCCCGGGCCAGCGTCCGTCTTGGCAGTGACTGCTGGCTAGCTTGCAGGTCCGAGGGCTTGGGGCACCTGGCTGAGGGTGTGGGCACCACCCAGAGCTTCGAGGGGCACTGGGGGCCCTCGTCAGGGGGCTCCAGGGGGCTGCCTCCCGTTGAGGCTACAGTTACAGATGTGGGCTTTCCATAGCCCGCCCGTGAGGGCCCGGGTTGAGTGACCCAAGGTCCCCGGAGCAGGGCCGTGTGCATGGGCAGAATCAGAATCAGCAGATCACAGGGACAAGCGCCAGCAGCCGCCTCTGTTCTGGGGGGGGGGGGGGGGGGGGGGGGGAGAATAGGAAAGAACATTCAGGGGCTGGCAGGCCTGGGGTGCTGGGAGAACCGGGGAGTCTATGCCCCATCTTTTGGGACGTTCCCGTTGGGGTCAGGCAGAAGGTACACCCCGCCCCCACTGTCCAGTTCTTCCGGCTTGCCAAAAAGAAGAAACTCACAGCTATGTAAACCTTATCTGATTTTTAAATATTGATCAGTAGGGGCCCCTGGGTGGCTCAGTCAGTTAAGTGTCCGACTTTGGCTCCAGTCATGATCTCACGGTTCGTGGGTTCAAGCCCCGCATTGAGCTCTATGCTGACAGCTCAGAGCCCGGAGCCTGCTTCCGATTCTGTGTGTCTCTCTCTCTCTGGCCCTGCCCTGTTCATGCTGTCTCTCTCTTTCAGAAATAAATAAAACATTACACAATTTTTTAAAAAAATAAATATTGATCAGTAATTCAACCTAAATGCAATTTTGTAAAACAACATGGTCCGGAAACAACCTCTGCCGGCTAGGCTGTGTCCCCCAGGCAGAGCGAAGTGTGAAAACACATCAACGGCAAAAGCAGAGGCCTCCCTGCATCGGGGCAGCGCTTTCTCGTTCAGTCGGCGGTCTTGGAGGCTTCTGGGTCAGCACACACTAGCCTCCTCATTCTGTTTAACTGCGGCTTGGACTTCCACTTTCTGAATAACCCGTGATATCCATGGACACTTAGGTTGTTTCCAGCTTTTTTCGCTTATGTTAACTTACGATTTTACATCTTGTATCTTTATCTCTGCTCATCTTGAAAGTGTTTCCGTAGAAAGCTCCCAGAAGGAGACTTTGTGCATCAGTGTGCATGCATATTAAATTGTAATGTGGGGCACCTCGGTGGCTCAGTCAGTTAAGTGTCTGGCTTCAGCTCAGGTCATGATCTCGAGGTTCATGAGTTCAAGTCCTGTATCAGGCTCTGTGCTGACAGCTCAGAGCCTGGAGCCTGATTCGGATTCTGTGTTTCCCTCTCTCTGTGCCCCTCCCCCATTCAGTCTCTGTCTCTCAAAAATAAATAAAAATGGGGGGCGCCTGGGTGGCTTGGTCGGTTAAGCGTCCGACTTTCGCTTGGGTCATGATCTCGCGGTTCGTGGGTTTGAGCCCCGCGTCGGGCTCTGTGCTGACTGCCAGCTCAGAGCCTGGAGCCTATTTCGGAGTCTGTGATTCCCTCTCTCTCTGACCCTCCCCTGCTCACTCTGTCTCTCTCTCTCTCTCTCCTAGAAATAAGTAAAACATTAAAAAAAAGAAAATTTAAAAATAAATAAAAATGGTAAAAAAAAATTAAATTGTAACAGAAACTGCCAAGGTTCCCCCTGTAAAATTTCCAGCTTCCGTCCTTACCTAGAGGGGATGATGGTGCCCATCTCTCCTGGCTATTAGCAATCCTTTTCATTTTTGTCAGTCTGATAAATAATATAATACCGCTTCACTCTGCCTTTCCCTAATTTCTATAGAGTAAAGCGTCATTTCATGATTAATAAAACAGTCAATTCGATATCTGCATGATGCTTGGTCATATGCTTTCGCCAGTTTCCCACTGGGTTGTCTTTTTCTTATTAATTTCTAGGAAGCCTTCCTGTAATATGGACAACACTGTTTAATTATACTGTTTGTGAGTATTTACCTTCAACTCCTGCACGAAGGAAGGTCTCTTGATGATCACTGGATACATTTTGTTCGAGGAACAAAGGAAACAGCTCAAGTTTCAAAGGGCACTTCCCGGGATCAGGCTCCCGTCTGGAATTCTAGGCCAGTGGAGCCTGGCCACCTGCTATCACCAAGACCTTGAACGGGAGCCAGTGCAGACTTCCCTCCTGCTTGATGACCTGCGGCCACTGCCAAGCCCATGAAGGCCCCAGGCAGAAGCTGTAATGAGCGGTGAAGGGTCACATCTGTCCTCAGGGGCATGACATCACTTCCTTGTCCCTGAAAGGAGCACCTGACACCCACAGCCATCTTGCTGGCCGACCGTTTTCTTTTTAACTGAAGCGAAGAGGCCCAAGGGGGAGGCTGAGTCACCCTGACGGTGCCCTGGGTGCCAGCTGTGGAAACGCCCACACAGCTCTACTCTGGCGTCTCCGCTTCGGGGACAAACGATGCTCTCCTGGTACAATGTTTGCTGTTATCGTTAAGCGTTTCTGCAGGTGCTGAGCCTTGGGTCAGCAGCCCCTCTCTGCTGGGCCCAGGGACACAGTGTCCTCAGGGCAGGTCTGGAGGGTCCCGGGCTGTGGAACCCAGTGACCCAGAACACAGAGGGCCTGCTTGAGATGAGCACAGTGACAAGGGGCGCCTGAGAGGCTCAGGTGGTTAAGTGTTCGATCTCGGCTCTGGTCATGATCTCACGGTCTGTGGGTTCAAGCCATGTATTGGGCTCGGTGCTGACAGCTCAGAGCCTGGATCCTGCTTCGGATTCTGTCTCCCTCTCTCTCTGCCCCTCCCCTGTTTGTGCTCTGCATCTCTCTCTTTCTCAAAAATAAATAAATACTAAAAAATGTTTTTTAAATAAACAAGGTCAGTAACAAGCACAGTTCTGTCTGCCGGGGGCTCCCATCTTTCTCTGTCCTCAGTTTTGGATCTCTCTGGCTGGCAAAGCCGGGACAGGGCGGCTCTGGCTGTGCTCGCTGGGGGCCTGCTTGCGTCAGTGACTGAGCTCTACTTTCACCCTTCACTTGGGGCCAAGGGCGCATTTGTAGGACATGTGTCTGGGCTCAGAAAATCCTGTGAAGCCCTTGGGCTGCATGGGGGTTGAGTCCCTGACCCCTGCCTGAATGGGGCCATTTCTAATGGTCTCACTCAAGCTTTTTCTTCTGGAGGGAAGTTGATAATTTCTGTTTACCCCAGGCCTCGTGATAACCAAGCACAATGCTGAAGGTCAACTTAGCTGAGCCATGGGGGGTGCCAGATAGCTGGTCAAACGCTGTTCTGGGTGTTTCTACAAGGGTGCTTTCTGGATGAGATTTAGCATTGAAATTGGTGGTCTCTGGAAAGATGCCACGCCCCCCCCCCCATTGTGGGTGGGCCTCACCCAATCCGTCGAAGGCCTGCCTAGAACAAAAAGGCTGAGCCTTCTGTGAGTCGCAAGGAATCTTCCTGCCTCACTGCCTTCCAAGCGGGGCCATCGCTCTTTCTGGTTCTGCAGCAGCCCGTCAGCCTTCAAACTCAAACCAGCTCCCTGGCCTCGTGGATTCTGAACTCTACAACCGTAAGTCATGTGACCCTGTTTCTTGTAATAAATATAAATACAGATGTCAATACAGATACAGATATAAATGAAAATATAAGCGTAAGTCTTACTGATTCTGTTTCTACGGAGAACACCAGCCAACACACAAATAATACCCCATCAGAGAAGGCCGAGTTTCATGCCTGGGAGTCGCAGGCTGGCACAGGGAAGGGGGCGGGGCAGGCATGCGGGGACTGGCAAGAGCCCGTGACACAGACTCAAGTGACCAGGCCTTGCTGGTTGCAGGCTCCTGCTAAGCCGGCCCCGGGACAGGGCTGCAGCCACACGCGGGCGTCTGGTCTACCAGGCAGGTGTGTGTGTTGCCCAGGGAGTCCGGGTCTAGTCCTTGGGGACCTTGAACTCACCCGTTGGGCCTCTGTGTTGGGCATACAGCCAAGAAAGAGGTATCAAGGGACACTGAAGAGCCACGTATCTGGGCTGTAGGACACTGGCGGGGTGACGGGCCTCTCCTGACACCCCCGCCGACCACAGCGGCAGCCCACGTGGACGCACCCTGGCACCAGCTCGGGGGTCCCGTGAATCCTCAGCATTGCCAGGAAGGAGGCACTATTATATCTCCATCTCACAAATGGGGATACTGAGGCACAGAGAGGACCAGGAACTTACTGGTCACCGGGCCAGTTAGCAGTAGAGCTGGGCGGAACAAGGGTCACGTGACTCAAGAGCACCCGCCCGTGCGCTGTTCTCCTCTTCCCGTCAGCCTCGCATGGCATTCATTTCACTTTATTGATGCAAAATTAACGTTTGACGAGACCACCCCCGCCTCGTTTTAGGCATATGATCCAGTGATTTTTAGTTAATTCATAGCTGTGTCACTGCCTCCACCATCCAGTTTTGGAATCTTCCCGTCCACCTCTCACCCACCGGTGGTCACGTGGCATTTGCCCCCCAGCCCAGCCACGCACTCCGGTACCTTCTCCTCCATCACCCTGACTGTTCAGCGCACTTCCTACCCACAGAGGCACACGTGTGGTCTGGCGTCTTCCACTTAGCGTGTTTCCGGGGTCCATCCGTGTTGTCACGTGGATCTGTTCACTCGAGTCCCTACTCTCGTCTCTTAACTTTCAAACTACGGAAAAGCCAGGGGCACAGAGCAGCGAACCCCCCCGTATCTGCCACCCACTTTCTGACGGGGACAAGGCAGCCGTGCTGGGCTCTGGCCTCGCCTACCTCATGTTCCTCACGGGCTCTTTCTCAAGCGGCTCCCAGAGCGAGTGCCGTTTCTTTCGGAAGGACTTCAACACACATCTCTCGAAATGCGTGGACTCTTCTTTTAAAAGCATGAATCTAACCACTACACCAGTATCGTGCCTGAAAGTATTCCCCCTGATTTCCTGATCGGCTCACCGGCCATGTCAGTGTGTAAATATCCCTGATGCACTTGTCCACAGGTATTTAGATCTGCTTGAATCGGCTCCCTCGCGGGGGTCGGGATTGTTAAGCTCTGCTCCCCCGCCTCCCACCGAAGCGGACACCAACTCTGAGCACAAGGTTGTGCTCGCTGCCCGCTGAACACTAAGCTTTGTTCTGGGCAAATTCCCAACAACTGAGTCACGTGGCCAGCCTGCTTGTTAGAGGCGTTCCGAGTTCGGTGCTCACTAAGGACGTCCGCGGGGGCCTGCTTCTCCCCCGCGGTCACCACCCCCAGTCTTGAGAGCCTACCAGGAGGGAGGGGTACGGCAAGGGCAGGTGAGCGGCGGGGGCTGGGGCCTCACCTGCGGTCGTGGAGGTCAAGTTGCTCTCCGCTGGGGCGGTCTCGTTGCCCGTGAGAGCCTTGGCGAGGGGCAGGCTAACACCCGCCAGGAGGAGTGGACAGAAGGGCTCCATGGTGAACCTGCAGGAAGCAGAGACCGGCTCAGAGGGCACCCCGCCGCTCCCCTCCCCTGCCCGGGAGGGAACCGCATGTAAAACAGGGTGGCCCTGGGATGGCATGACTGGGGCAGGCTCCGGAGCACCGCTTAGTGAATCTGGGTTCGGGGAGGGGTCTGTGCACACCGCCGGCACAGTTCACAGCCGCATCATTTCACTGTAGAGCGAGCCCAGTGAGGAGCCCCGCCAGCTAGTCCCGGGTTACAGAGACTCGTGCTGTTCGGGTTAATTTCCTTTTTTGTTTGTTGTCTGGTTTGCAGGGAGAAGGGAGGCAAACGAGGATGTGGAGGAGGCTGGAGAGGAAGAGCTGAGCGTACGAGGCGATCTGAGATTCTGAGCGGCAGCTTCACGACACCCCTCGAGGCCCTTAACCCACAGCTTCTAGACCCTCGCACGGGCGGGGCGCCCGGGTGGCTCTGACTCTTGAGTTTGGCTCAGGTCATGATCTCACGGTTCGTGGGTTCGAGCCCTGCATCGGGCTCTGTGCTGACAGCTCAGAGCCTGGAGCCTGCTTCGGATTCTGTGTTCTCTCTCTGTCTCTCTGCTCTTCTCTTGCTCGCACTCTCTCCCTCTCTCTCTCACACAAAATAAATAAACCTAAAAAAAATAAATTGCCACACGGTAACGATTTGTTCAACACAAATAGGAACATCCTATTGTGTCTGCCATGAGACAGGTGTGGCGTTTCTGTTTGCATCACATTCTCTGGGAGCCCAGAGAAGAGCAGTGGCCTGGGGGAATCTGGGGCTCAGGAGACAGGCTAACTGGTGTGTGGTCACAGGGCCAGGGGCTGGGATGTGGGGTCTGGCCTGCCTGCACGGGGTCCCCCTCTGCTGTCCCCCTGGCCACAACCCACACCTCCATCCCTATTCTGAGTGCCGGCCCTCACTGCCTCCCACCTGAGCTTCGGGTTGGGTGGGGGCTGGGAGAGCGCGGGCCCCGGGCCCACGTTTTCCACATTCTGGAGCCAGATGCACCTTTGAAAATTTTTTTTTATAGTTTATTCATTTTTGAGAGAGAGAGACAGAGCATGAGTGGGGTAGGGGCAGAGAGAGAGGGAGACACAGAATCCAAAGCAGCTCCAGGCTCCAAGCTGTCAGCACAGAGCCCGATGTAGGGCTGAAACCCACAAACCGTGAGATCGTAACCTGAGCTGAAGTCGGACGCTTAACCACCTGAGCCCCCAGGGGCCCCCAGATGCACCTTTGAAAGTCCAGCCAAGCCCTCCTTGTCCGGAGGAGTTAACAATGAGAATGGAGAGGGGCAGGCAGCCTCGTCTGCGTGGCTCTGGGGTGGCCTTGCCTCGGACTACACTGCTGTCTGAGCTCCCCGGTGCATCCCAGGGAAGCGCCCTCTCTGCCCACGAGGGGCCACCTTTAGTTAGCTCCTGTCTGACAGAGCCGCTTGGGAATGGAGGGGCGTCTTAAGTGAGTGGGTGGGTGGGGGGTGCGTGCATGGAGCAGACCCGGATGGCCACGTGGCTCAGCACAGGAAACAGCAATCTCTCACCCACCTCAGAGCCCGGCCGGGTGCTCCAATTTTGCCCAAGTTCCTCGGGTCCTCGGAAAATGTGGCCGTGACCTCTTGGAGGTATGGAGGAGTCACGGCAGGGGAAGAGGCGTGGCTGTGTGTGCTGAGTGAGATCTGGGTGACCACGAGTGTAGTGGAGGTGTGGGCTCCCCCCCACGCCCCCTCCGTGGTCCGCCTGGGGTGCCTGTGCCCTCAGACGGCACTTTCCTGCAAAAAGCGTCCCTGGGGCACAGGGATGCACGGAGGCCCGGAAACACTGGTTCCTTGTCATTAGAGGAGACACTTGAATGAGCGCAAAAAATCTAATCGCGTTTCTGCAATCACCGCCGAGCGGACCATTCTGAGCAGACAATTGCCCTGGAATAACCAGGAGCACCACACGCAAGGCTTCCAACCTCTTTCCTCTTGTTTATTTCCCGAATGCACTTTATTTTTAAAGCGCGCCACACACGCACGTGCACACACACAATAGCTTGTAACTTGTGAGCATCTCAGCGCTGGGCCCTTCACGTGGCCACTGGCCTCACGACAGCCCTCCAGGGCTGAGGAACGGGCCCAAAGTTGGGACAGAGTGGACGGAGGAGTCGCGGATCGAACCCAGGACCACCGAAGACAAAAGCTCGGGAGCCCTGACGGTCGGCTGTGCCCAGGCTGCATCAGACAGAATCTGTTCTTGAACGATGCTTTTACATAGTTGAATACACTGCAGAGTAAGTGATTAGGAAGCATTAACTGGGGGGCGCCCGGGTGGCTTCGTCAGTTAAGCGTCCGACTTTCGCTTAGGTCATGATCTCGCGGTTCGTGGGTTCGAGCCCCACATCAGGCTCTGTGCTGACTGCCAGCTCAGAGCCTGGAGCCTATTTCAGAGTCTGTGTCTCCCTCTCTCTCTGACCCTCCCCTGCTCACGCTGTCTCTCTCGAGCGCTCTCTCTCTCAGAAATAAATAAAAATATTTAAAAAAAAAAAAAAGGAAGCATTAACTGGTTTAATACAACTCAGAAATGCAGACTTCCCAGTTGAAGCACGTGTCTTGTTATGTGCATTCATTCAAAACCCTCCTCTCCAAATGCTCAATGATCTAAGAGAAAGCAGACACATTCCAGGCAGAAAGCCCATCGCCCGTCAGACCCCTACCCGTGAACAGTGCTCCCAGGAGCGGCAGGTGACTTGCCCGCTATGCCAGCAGAGGGCCTCAACTTTACAGAATTTGAACCCCTTGAGTCCCTTTACTGCGATATTTATATTTCCAAGCCAAGGACAACGTTCCTGTCCCTGGCTATTCACCCTCAGAGGGTTTGTGCAAGCTACCAAACAGCACAGACACGAATCCGCACAAAACAGTCCCTGAAATAGTTTGAGTCATGGTGACTTTTAAGGACTTGTATAGAATCTACAACGCGTTGCATCTCAGAGCTGAGATTAGCAAAACAGTTTCCAACAAAGCCGCTTTTGTGTTTATTCCTATCAAAAGTCAGCCAGCTATCAGCTTGATTGATTAGGATATCTGCTTGATTGATTAGCATATCAGCTTGATTGATTAGGATTGCTTTCTTACTCCACTTGATGCCTTTTTAATACTCTGTTGGGCAGCGAGTCTGGAGCAGCACTGCCGGGCCCTGGAGCTGCAGAAATGAATAATCCCGGCCCTGCCGCACCGGCAGCTGCACGGAGCCGAAGGGAGAGCGGAAACACAGCATCCCCGGGACCCCCGTTCCGGAGGGGAGGGTCCACGGTGCCAGGGAAGGAAGGTGAGGTAGTGACGACTCACTCCTCCCGGGACCGAATCGAGAAGGCCCTTGAATGTTGAATTAAAGAGTTTGGTTTGGTGTTACAGGCTCGTTTTCCAAAAACAACCTACATCAGTAGAACCACTTGGGGCGATTATAAGAAGATGCCAATTCCCGCGCCCAATGCCAGATGCATGAAATCCAAACATACGGAGAGTGACGGGATTTGTACAGACCAACCGAAGCTGACAAGCCTGGCCGTGAGCAACGAGCTGCCACGGAAGTTTCCAGAGAGTGCCAGAAGCCGGTCAGGAGCCACAAGAGACACAGCGTAAGCCTCTGCCGCCCCTGAAGGGCTGGGGGTGTTGGCGTCCTGGGGGCGCAGCAGCTCAGACACAGACAGATCTCCTCGGCGGTTCCCGCTCACACCACATCTGAGGCGTGCTGGTCTACACAGCAGAGTGGGAAGGTCTGGACTAAATCCAGGACAATGGGAATGGCAAGGAGAGAGGCATTTGAAAGGGGGTTCAGAGGTTAGAATCGGTGTGAATGGTAGTCAGCTGGACGTGGTGGTGACTAGGGCACTGGGGCACCTGGATTTGCATCATGGGAGATGGGGGGGGTGGGCATTGTTCATTAGCTGAGATCTGGAGACTGGGCTCCCCAGTCTGGGGATGAGGGTGACTTTGGCTTGGAGGATAAAGCAATAATACAAGCCACCAGGTACTGAGCTCCCGTGCAGTGTGATAAGCTACCGGAGGCTCTGGGATGAGTCACCTCACCACCCCTCACGGCAGCGCTACCAGAAATGTCCTGCTGTCCTCGGAGACGGCCTCTTGGAGCTCCGGGTCCCGAGCGCGCTCCAGCGGAGGCGCCAACGGGAGCTGGGCCGAGGGCCTGGCGCTTGGCTGGCTGGGAGGGCGGCTGAAGCTTCAGGGTGTGGGTGAGTTCGGCCTGGGGGTGTGCAGGGGGGCAGGGGCCAGGCCTCGGGGCCCAGCCGACGGAGGCCACACGCTTGGGGTCAGGGGTAGAGGAGCCGGGCTGGGCGTCTGGCAAACGGCGGCCAGGGACCGGGAGGGCAGGTGGACACCCTAGGGCAAGAGGAGTGCCCCCCTGAGCCTTGTCTGCGTCCCCAGCCCTTGCTCACAGGCTCCCCCACTGGGTGGTTCCTCCGTCCCCTTTGCCTTGGTCCCACCAGCTTTTGAGGGCCCGCAAGTCAGAGACACTCTCTCTCCCTCGGATCAGACCACCCAGATTTGTTCGGAGTCATTTGGGCATTGAGTCTCCCAACCAGAACCTTGAGCCTCTGGGGACGGGGGACGTCTCCTCCCCAACCCCGCCCCCCAACAAGCTGGCTTCCTCCGCTGACAAGGACCTTCAGGGCTTTTGAGGGTGTGGAGCCGTCCCTGCGCCAGTGTCTTTGAGGAGGGACTGCCCTGCTGAGCCCTCCAGTGTCCCCAGGCGACTGAACCAGACCGCCCCCTGCAGGTCCAAGACGGTAGTGTTTTCTTTCTGCAGCTCACACCCATCATCACTGTTTAAACACCTGCTTCTCAGTTATGAGACAGACTCGGCTCCTTCACAAAGGAGCAGAGAGAAAGATTTGTTCGGTGGGGCTGCCAGCCTTAAATAGAGCCCCTGGGATGGGCCACGTGTAATTTCTCATCTAAACCAGGACCCCCGAGAGCAAAAGAGAGGCTGAAACACTT